ACACACACACACACACACACACACACACACACACACACACACACACATGAAAAAAAAATAGCTTGACAATATGAGTTGTGATAAGAACCGGAGGATGTTAAAAATACAATGAAACGAAAATATAAAGGTTGATCCACGTTAAGGCGCACACGTAAGCCCACACAATCATTTTCGGAATGGGACAAGATTTGTGAGCCTCATTCACATCGCGCAGACGACGACGAAACAAAAGCGTGAAAAATTTGAATTCACGAACAGCGCGAAATAGATTAATAAATGAGTAATGATAATAAACGAAAATAAACGAATTATGTGAAAATAACGATAATCAAGCAGAAAAGAGCAGAAGCAGAAGCAGAAGAAGAAGAAGAAGAAGAAGAAGAAAATACATGTCTAATGATTTCTCCTTGTAATCCAAAAATAACCATCGAATGACATATTCGATTCTATACACATCGAGTAGCACACGAGCAGTGAGTATACTTCGTTCAGGGCGATGAATACTCATCGAGCCTGTCGATCAACTCAACAACATCTTCAAACGATAGCCTCTAATGTGCAGAAAATATAGCAGAATATGCGCGCGACAAGAGGGAGAAAGAGAGCGAGAATAACAATTCATGCAAAATGAATGGGTGATAAAAATGTTTAAAAGGCGATCGCATGAAGTAACAACTCTATTTCATACAGTATATTCACTCGGCGGCTTGGTCGTTTCTGTTCGTTTCTCCGTTGGATGAGTGACAGAGACAGTGACAAGGAGAAAAACAGAGAAAGGAAAAGAGAGAGAGAGAGAGAGAGAGAGAGAGAGAGAGAGAGAATGCGCGCGCGAAAATGATAGTCACAAAAAATACACCGCACTACAAATGTCCACAAATAAAAACCAATTGGCAACAACAATAACAACATCAACAACAATAATAACAAACCACTAACAATGACGTTAAAGAGGAGAAAAGAAATAAGAGTGAAACGCTTAGCGCGGCTAGCACATACGACATCTTCTCAGCCAAATGTAGGCGTTTACGTTGAAAATGTACGAAACATTTCAAATATACGTTTCTCATTTATCGAAGATGAGCGTTTGACATTGGATTTGGCTATGATCATCCTATTGCTCACGCAAACGTGGGCAACCGAGCCTACGATCGATGGAAATATACATAACATAAACACCGAATATAATCGGTTTCCCTTGTTGATCTTTGATTGACCCATAGCGAGTCCTTGAATATGTAACGTCTTCCGTGGCATTCACACAGTTTTGAATCGGACAAAAGATTTGACGAAATTTCCATTTGCCAGAAGAATACAAATATTTTCTTTCATTTACTTTGAAAAACATTTCATCATGTCTATGAATATCTAAATTAATCTATTTTCGATTTGAAACAACAAAAAAACAATCCTCATCAAATCAGATGCAAGAAGCTGTTTAACTTGTGATAAAGTATTGGCCGAACTCGAGAAAATCGACGATGACACTGATTCGTTTGGTGTTGATTTTGTGAAAATAAACGACAAACGACTGGCTAAACAATATGGTATCAAAAACTTCCCAGCACTCACATACTTCAGGTAAATGAGTCATTCAAAATGGCATTATTCTATCGAGAAATGAACGAAAAAAAAATGAGATTTGACAACATTTTCTGTTTGTTCGTTCGGTTTTTAGCACTACATGAAATGTAGAGCTACTAATCTGCTTTTTTTTCCTAGATACTTCGAGTTCCTTTGAGTGTTAAAACAAATTATGGTGAATTTGAATTTTATGCTCATATTTTTTATTTAATTCAAAACAGTGGCAGTAACGACAAATAAGTGCATAATAAAAATGTTGTTTAAAAATTACATTAATTTTTCGTATAATATTTTCTGAGTCTTGGACAGAATTGAAGTGATTTTAGATTCTATGCTCATATTATTTATTTAATTTAAACCAAAGGCAGTGTATTTCAAAAAAGAAATAAAACCAAGATCTTGTAATTCATTTTGCAAATAAATATATTACTTCAAAGTTACTTTGATGAAATACATTTCATGTAGTGCGCCAAAAAATAGTTTGTTGTGAAACAACAAAATAGATTAAGTAACTAAAAACTCAAGAACGCAGAGCTTCGCTTCGCTCCGCTCTGCGGCCTTGTTTTTTACTCAACGTTTCCAAATTGTTTTCAATTCGAGCTGAACAAGGATCAGACAAATTGAGTGTATCAAACATCGATTGTATAAAACAATGACTACTTTTCGATTCATTTGATTGGATCCTTGAATCGCTCCGTTGATAAAATCGTAATTCAATTTTTGTTTCATTGCTTAACATTTTGCAGAGAGAAAGAGCCAATTATTTATGATGGCGATCTCATGGATGAGGAAGGTGTTCTCGACTTCTTGACATCATTAGAAGCCATGGACCTTCCGGACCGTATCGAAGAAGTCAATGCGAAAATTCTTGCGAAAATTATCGAAGAAACCGATTATGTAGCCGTTTTATTCTGTGAGTGATTACCATTAAATACGGTGCAAATCCGAAACAATTTTCTCTAACTATTGAAAATGCAAATCATGATCGGGTGAGGAACATGATTTGCATTCAACAGTTAAAACAGCTACAAGGATCTCTTTTTTTGGTTTATTGCGATTTTTGTGATATTTTTTTTTGTTTTCTTCAATTGGTCTGATTAGTTAGAGAATTCAATTTTGATTAGTTAGTTTGAATTGGCACCAGTTTTTTTTTTGAGGCACTTCACCTAATCTCCAGTGAGAAAGTGAATACATAACAAAACAAATTTTACTGTATATATATATATATACTATCTGCACATACACACACATTTATCAAACGATGCAAACAATAATGGGATACTTGGGAAAAAACAATATATCAAACACACACACACACACACACATGTACTACTTTCGATTAAAAAAAAAAACCATGTGAACTTAAACAGACGTGCACACGCACAAAATCAAATCGACGGAGATTTCTGCGTCGTTGTTATTATCTCCGAGGTCGTCGTCGTCGTCGTTGTCTTTGATCGACAGTTGTCGAATTTTGAATCAATGTTCAATCAATTTCTTATTCTAATCAAAATTAAAATATAAATTTAAAACAAAAACCGTACCTAGGTCCTGACCATAGCACTTGTGAAACAAGGGGAAAAGCGATTACGGAAAGTAAGTTTTACATTTTTCAAACCACACACAAAAAAAAGCATTCTCTAATCCAACAACTAGCACAACAAAACAACCCAATCTGTGTCTCACATAATCAAATCACCAATGGAATTCTAATTTTATTCAAAATATTAAAAAAACCAAACTAAGCCCAACAAAACCAAAACCAACATCTTAGCTACCTAGCCCCTGAAGCAACAATCAAATTGGTTTAAGAAATAAAATGATCTCATACAACTTAAAGCCATAAAACTCGAATGCAATATGATAGAATAAACATAGTTTTTCTCGCTGTTCTTAAACATACGTAATTTGTGAATAATTTTCTTTTAATCACCCGTTAATCTAATGTTGATGTACTAAACAGAAAAAAAAATGTCCATCATTGTTCGTCGCCTGATTAAAATTAGATGTGCTGTATCAACCTTGAATGTCGGATGTCTAAGTGCATACACTTTTGATCTCCTTTGTTTGCTATTTTCCGTGTCGGCGTCTCTGTTTTTTCTTTTTCTTATTCTCTCTCGATCGTTCCCCCTATATATTTCATTTTCAATCGATTTCCAGTGGCCACTTGATGATTCGGATCGATAACAAACCCAAACAACAAATTATAATTGGCTGCGCCAATAGATGCTAGTTTATACTTAGTCTTCTTAGTTTCTCTGGTGGGCTTTCAGATTGCAAAAACCAAAAAAAAAACAAAACATTCGTTTGTATCAAGTGATCCCAGATGGGATGCATTGCATGCAATTGAATGTGTGGCTCATTTCACGAATGCCGACACAATGAGCAGAGACATATGTTCATTTTCCACACGCTTAAAATCGCACAGTTTGTTCGTGCCTTTTTATTTTGGCTTGTTTTTGTTCTGTTTTTTGTCTTTTTATTTCATTTTCTCGCTCAGTTTCCTTGCTGTAATTTCTTTCTTCCTTTATTTCCTTTGAGTATTTGTAGTCATTTCATTTCTGTCTATACTGCATATCGATCCGTTTTCATCACACTACACGACATTGCATATATAAATACAGAGTATGGGTATATGTATAGAATTGTTTTATTTTCTCTGGTTTTTTGTTTCGATTTTATATTATTGTTGTTGTTGTTGTTTTCTTCTGTGTTTTTTTTGTGTAACCATTTTAATCCGATCAGTTGCTGTTTTCACTACACATTTTAATGGCTGTAAATAGGTTGCTTCAAAATAGACGAAGAAGAAATTTCAACGGCCACATAATTGTGTTGAGATGATCGATTTGCGCGATGAATGTGCTAAAACTATGTTGTGCTGGGCAATTAGGCTGACTGCCGAAATAACTCAAATTTCGTGCAATTTCGACATCACAGAGTGCAGACGTTGTAATAGATTTTGTGCGCACCGCATACACTTCTGCTTTTCTCGCTCTCACAAATCCCTCCAACTGTATGACTCAACTGGGAGGGAGAGAGAGACAGTGCATCAACACACACACACACTACGACACATATGATGATGAAATTAATGAAATTAATGAATGAATGAAACGTATTAATCGCGATCAGAAACTTCTTTTGAATATTTATGTGAAGCAACCAATTTGGCTGTGCAATTGGATACGATTTCAAAAAAATGAAAGAGACGAAAGCAACAACTTATATAATTGATTTAAATTTTGTTGCATGCAAAAGAAATTGTTGGTAGATTCGTTTTGGCTAATGGATTTCAATTTTACAACAACAACAAACACCCGAATAAATATGAGCTTTTTATCACAGGCCTAACATCGAAATCATCGTTGTAAATAACATTGTGATCATCAATGAATCCCAATCAACAACACCAAACATTTTCTTATTCTTCTTAATTTTAAATAAATAACCATTTTGATTTTTTTTCTCGCATTAAAACTGAACTTCAATTATTATTAATATGAAATGAATGCATTTTTACCCAGAAAAATAATTCGTAGATTTTGCGCCCTTTTTACTCGATTCCTTGTTTTATTTTTTTCATTCTTTTTCGAATAAACACATACCCATATGTATAGAAGCATCATCATGATGATTGATTAAATAATAATTTTGTTTGACAGTAGGAAGAAAATCCTGCTTAAAATTGATCCAATTGAGTTATTGCCAACATCGAAACAAACATATTTTCGTTCTGTAGTAGTTTTTTTTTTTGGTTTTCGTTTGCAAATTTTGTTAATTGAATCGAATGTCTTGATTTTTGCTTGTACACACACAAACACACACCAATTTAGACAAGCCAGAGTGCAAACGATGCACAAAAGCGCTGCAAGAACTCGAAAACATCGACGACGAAGCGGATCAATTGGACATTGGTTTTGTGAAAATACACGACGAAGCATTGGCCGACGAATATAACCTTGGCGCATTGCCGGCATTGGTCTACTACCGACATCAAATTCCAATTTTGTATGAAGGTTCGGACATTTAATTTCGGTTGATACTTTTTTGTACACTCTTGCTGCTTACATTTTAACAGTGAATCCAACACATGTTTCGTCTTATGAAATTTTTGCGTTCGTTGTTTTTCGTTCAAACAAAATGTTTGGTCAGTTTTATGTTTCATTTCGAATCAAAAGAAATGCAAGTAGTTTGAGAGTGAGAAATTTGGTTTTGCTTTGAAACAACTTAACATGGAAATTTGATTTGTGCACATACAATACAAAAAAAAACACACACACACAAATAGGAGAACTATCAAAAGAGGAGGATGTATTAGAATGGTTGATTGAGAACAAATCGACTGGTGACGATGAAGAGGTTATCGAAGATGTAACAGCCAAAACGTTGAGCACATTGATTGGCAATGTGGATAATTTGGTCGTATTGTTCTGTAAGTGGAGGACAACTGGCACTTGAAATTGCACCCCAAAACGAAGAGAAGAATTAAGTATTTCCCGTGTATCGTTGCAGATGATCATGGAATAGACGATTCAATGACGGTGCTTGAAGAGCTCGAGAAAATTGATGACGATTGTGATAAGCATGGCATTCAATTTGTGAAAATTGATGATGATCGCACATCGCGCGGCTACGGCATTGAAAGTGTACCGGCCATTGTGTATTTTGAGAAACAAGTGCCGAACATTTACAGCGGCGATTTGCTTAATGAAGAAGAAATTCTGCATTGGCTCGTATCGCAAACGGAAAAAGGTTCGAATACAGACAATACGCTCAAGCGCATTAAATCAAGACGGATAAATGAATAAATGTTTTCTTTTATTTCCGCTATGAAACCATTCCGTGGTTGCCTTCGGCTACTATTTGCCATGCTACTACTGAATCCAGATGAGATTGAAGATGTGACTGAGGAGGCACTTGACAAGATGGTAAAAGACGGAGACACGTTGGCCGTGCTTTTCTGTACGTATCGGATCCATGTCCCGTAATCGTGTTATCATCGGAATGCCCCACGAACAGCCTACTAATCGTTTTATGTATGCTTTCAGATGATAACAACGATGATCGATCGCAAAAAGTGCTTGAAGAGCTGGAGAATATTGATGATGAGTGTGACGCGCTTGGCATCAACTTTGTGAAAATTGATAATACTGACGAGGCCAAAGAGTATGGAATCGATAGTGTACCGTCATTGTTGTACTTTGAAAAGGGCATCCCGACCGTTTTTGAGGGCCGCCTGGAAGATGAGGAAGCCGTTTTGAAATGGTTGGAACAGCAAACAACATCTGGTATTTCACCTGACGCTTTCTCGTAAACCGTTTTCTTCCCGATCTGTTACAATGCATTTTTTACACAATGATTTTTTTCTAAACTTTCTTTTCATTAAATCACCAGAGAGTATAGAGGACGTAACTGATGAGATGTTGGATCTGATTTTAGAAAAGATGCAATACGTAGCAGTTCTATTTTGTAAGCTCATTTGTACAATTTCACTCTCCACATTCTGTCTCTCTCTCACTTGTTTCTGTCTGTTACACTGTTTCCCATTCTCTGTCTTCTGTCTTGCGTTCTTCTGTTCTTTTCAAATCACCACCGTTATTTTGTTTGCATTGAGCAAGAAAAGCAAAATGGTTGACAAAACAAAAACAACACATCAATTGATTTAATATCCCATTCTTCTGTCTTCTTCCCTTCATCCGCAATTTAGACCAAAAAAAAACAAAACAAAACAAATCGATACTTTTTTCCACCCTTTTTCCCTTTTTGTAGACGATATTGTGTGTGCGTGTGCAAACCACTTAAATCTATATCCAATTTATGTATCACTCTAGACCTAAGGCTATGTAGGGAAAAAGCCATTCTTTCAGATCAACTTTTAGATTTAAGGGAGTTTCTTCTGACCGATTTTATTGTATGTCTTAGTATAAGTGTTGCTTTTATTATCTTATTTCAGACACGGTAATTTTACTATTGCAGCCAAAAATGAATTTAAAAGCCAATTTCAAACTTTATTTGAGTTTCAACTTGGAAATTTCACAATTTTCTCAGCGTCACTTCATTTGAATTGTTCTAATGAGTTTTGGTTGTGCCATTTCTGTTTTTTTCTCCTTTCGACTCTCCATAGATGACAAGGATCAGAAAAAATCACAAAAAGTTCTCAATGAATTAGAGAATATTGATGATGAGTGCGACCAAAATGATATCGCTTTTGTTAAGATCGATGATGACAAGGAAGCCGAAGAGTGGGGCATTGACGAAATTCCAACAATCGTAAACAAGCCCAAATCAATTTAATCTCAAAGAACTTATTCCAATGATACGATCTCTTACGTTTTCTTTTAGGTATTCTACGAGCGTGGTATTCCACACATCTACGAAGGTGATTTGATGAAGGAAGAAGACCTGCTCGGCTGGCTCATCCACCAAAAACGCCATTCAGGTAAGAATCGTTTGATCTGATCGAAATTAACGTCTGCAATTCGGAAAAGAAGACGTAAATTTTTATGTGCAGTGTGGGTTAGTAAGCGATAAACATTCATCCTTCTAATCAAAGCTCTCATTTTGTATATGCCTATATTTCGAGCTATTAGTAGTTGCTATTTATAGGCAATAGCTGTTGATATTTTGAAATAGCAGCTAACGAGTTCGTAGTACAAAATTCCAGATTTGGGAAGTCAAATTAAGGCTGATCCGAGCGGAATTCGGCAAAACCTGGTCCAATGTATTCTAGAAGTAAGGTTCTTCACTAGACATTCCCTATGGGAATGCTAAATCGCGTTATTTTTGCCGAATTCCGCTCGGATCAGCCTCAATTTGACTTTCCAAATCTGGAATTTTGTACTGCGAACTCGGTAGCTGCTATTTCAAAAAATCAACAGCTTTTGCCTATAAATAGCAACTACTAATAGCTCGAAATATAGGCATATACAAAATGAGAGCTCTGCTTCTAATAAAAACTGATGAAAATGAAAGTAATTTTACCTTTTTTTTCATATCAAAATTCTCACAAAAAATGTAGAAATTCCGGAAGTAACTGACGAAATGAAAGACAAACTGGTAGAGAGCACCAAACACTTGGCTGTTATTTTCTGTGAGTATATTTTGAAATCGTTTGAGCAACAGTGTTCGCAACAAGATTGTTATGCATGCTCCATATTGCAGACGATAAGGATGACAAACAAGACATGCGTGTGCTTAACGAATTGGAAAATATCGATGATGAGTTAGAAAAGGAAGGTATTGTCATCGTTCGTATTGACAATGCTGATGAGGCCAAGGAGTACGGTTTGGATCACTTGCCAGCTTTGGTTTATTTCGAAGATAAAATCCCAGCATTGTATGAAGGTGATTTAATGAACGAAGACGAAGTTTTGGAATGGTTGATTGTGCAAAAAGAAACTGCCACCATTGAAGAGGTAATGTAGAGTGATTGTGTGTGTGCGTATGCGTATGACTCGAGGGAAAACGTTACATTATCCAATATTCAACAGGTGACAGATGAAATTTTAAAAGATCTTATTGAGGACCACGAATATGTTGTTGCCTATTTCACCGGTCCATGCGAAGAAGGTGATAGATGTGATGATATTTTAGGTATGCCAATACACCTTTTATTTCAAGTTCTTTAAAACGATAAAAAAAAATGGTTGTTAAGCCGTTCTCAATACACCGCCCCGTCGAGTATTGAAATTAACTTGAAATTTACACCCACATCTATATATGAATAAACAATTAGTTTAAAAGCTTTAAAAAACGCTTTGAAATAATTGTAAAATCATATAAAAACCAACAACAAAAACCTTTTATTTCGATTTCATTTCAAAAATAAACAAAAACGAATCTGATGATGACTTTTCAGACGACTTGGAAAATATTGATGATGAGTTGGACGAAGCGGGTATCATTTTTGTCACAACTGAAGACACAGTTACGGCCAAGAAATTGAACATCAAGACCTTTCCTCAGTTGGTATTCTTCCGTAATCGTGATCCATTGTTCTACAAAGGCGATCTCGAGGATGAAGATGAAGTGTTGTCATGGCTCACCGATGAAAACACCTTGGAAATTCCAGGTAAGCCATTCAATTTTATTACCATTTAATTTTCAATAATTTTTTTCATTACTCTTCCATCATGCACTAGGCAAAATCGAGGAGGTAAACTCAAAGATGCTCGAGAAGATTCTGGGCGAAAATGATCATGTCGTCGTTTTCTTCTGTAAGTTAAATTCGAAGAAAGTTTGTGATGATGCAATCAAAATTTCGAAACGGGCTTTATCGTGTGTGTTTTATTTAAACAGATAGAGAAGGTGACAAGAAAGCCCAAAAGATTTTGAACGAATTGGAAAATATTGACGATGAATGCGAAGAGAAGAACATTGACTTCGTGAAAACATCGGACGAAGGTATTGACAAGGAATACGATTTGGCTGAATTGCCCGCACTTGCCTTCTATCGCAACAAGTTCCGTACGATCTACTCGGGAGATTTGATGAAAGAGGATGAGATCTTGGAATGGGTTTTGGATTTGTACGAATCAAATCCAGATGTTATTGAATCAGTCGATCGCAAAACATTGCAAGTTTTAATCAACGACGTTGAACATTTGGCCGTATTTTTCTGTGAGTTTTCTTCGGTTTTATTTTTGATCGAATTTTTTCATGATTGCCAATTTCATTTTCATGATTCCCAAATTTTGAAATTTCGCGTAGATGATGACAAATGTGCGTCATGCCCAAGCATTTTGGAAGAGCTTGAAACAATCGATGACGACACTGATGAACACGGAATCCAATTTGTCAAATCGAATGATGTTAAACTTGCCCATGAAATCGGCATTTTTGCATTTCCGGCTTTAGTATACTATGAAACGGGCGTTCCAATCATGTATGATGGTAGGTTTTCTAATTGTCCCGCCAAATTATTTAAAACCGCATTTTAATTGTTGACATCCATTTCATTTGCAGGTAATCTCAAGAACGAAAAACGCGTTCTGCAGTGGCTAATTAATCAGAAAAGTAAGGACGTTCCATATTGCTTTTTTATTGTCACACTAACCACGTTAACACTCGCAATTCGATTCAGAAAGAAAAGGGAAAAAAAAACAACATTTCATCTCAAAAACGAAAAGCATTCATTCAGGAAAATGTTTCTAAACGTCATTTCAATTTCGATCATTTTGTTATCATTGTGTCAATTTCGACAACCACAAATGGCCCCAATCAAAGTTTGTGTTTGTCGAAATGTTATAATTGGTTTGCATGCGTGTCATTAATTTTTACTTTCTCTTTCTCAACAAAAAAAAAATGAAGAAGAAGAAAAAAATATTAGCCAAGCGAAGCAAAAGCTGCAAACTGCGTAATTTTGACCATTAATCTCTCACATTATTGAAATAAACTTAAAGCAGGTGCTACGGATGATGACGCTGATTCCGAAAAAGTTGAAGATTGTGGTACCGATGCAACAGCCAATCGCAATGCGTTTGAACGTATTCGCTCAGCAAATAAAAAATTAAAACGTCCCGCGAATCGAAGAACGATAAGTAATAAATTAGGGTCTGACCAAACCTATTCAACTGCTAATAATGACGATAATTTTAGTAGCTATGGCAATGACATCGATGACATAGTCGATAGCAAGCAAACAGCTACCCCAGCCGCCGCTACCCAATTAGACATACATTTTATGTGGATCTTTCTCAAAGATCTTCTCACAAGTCTCGTAAGCACAAATGACCACAACGAAACCAATGAAAATACCAATGATATTAATTTCGAACTGAACACTCACTGTGACTACCTCGATGATAGCAATTATCTCACCATCATCGATGGTGATCTGAACGATGACGATAATTCTCAAAAGCATAAATTACTTGAACAAAAACTTCTAGGTAATTGTTTCTATGGATTTTCTGCCAAAACCAAACCAAACAAACAATCACAACCAATAAATGCCCCCGCCCCCCCCCCCCCCCGAAAAAAAAACTAAGCCATAAATCACACATACATACACACAAAACCACCAAAAACCAAATCGAAACGCATTGGTCGCATTTATATCCTCTTGGCTGATCATCATCGATCGAATCTCCCTCCAGTATAAATACAACAACAACAAAAATCACACCAATTTTTGCCCACTTTTAGTCACACCACGATGAAAGCTCGTTCGTCCGATAACTAAACAAGAATACCATCACGTTTCCAAACGATTTTAGTATACCTTACGCGTTGCGGCTACCACCTTACCCCAGCCGAAGCGCTCAATTGGAATTTGCACGGCCGCCCAATCTCACTTGCATCTATCTATCTCTAGACATCCTTTGATGAATGAATGTTGTTTTGATGAAACAGAATTTTACAGAAAGACATTTGTATTGACGCAACTAATCCACCTACAGCTGCTCTCTTGCTCGATATCAAAATTGAAAGCAAAAAAAAAAAACGTAGAAGCAATGAAACAATCGGAAATTACATAATAAAGCTGACACAATGTTTGATACAACATTTGGCTCAAACGAGATTCGTGTAAATTGTTACGGATGATATCTTGATTTGCAATCTATCCTCTCTCTCTTTCTCTCTTTCTCTCTTTCTCTATTTCTATCTCTCTCACTCGGAGAGAGAGAGAAAGAGAGAGTGAAACTGTTTGACCAAAACATATTAATTATAGGCATATAAGTGAATAGTCGACCATCTTATGATCGTCTTCGGGTTTGATTCGCAATAAATTTAAGTTCAATCACATTTATTGTTCGTTTTGTAAAACATATTCGACCACAAAATTACGGAAAGAAGAGATTGATCCATCCATCCAACCCAAAACAATAAGCACACAACACAAGATCCTCTCATCTGTTATTTTTTTTTTTTAATTAAATTTGTGTTTGTGAAGTGAAAGTAATAATAGTAAAACAAAATCAAAATCAAAAATTTAAACGAAAATTATGTCAAGAGACAAAACTTAAAAATTGGAACGAATAAAAATGATAAGAAACAAACAAAAAAATTGTGCGAAACGAATACGGAACGATTTGTAACCGGGATATTTCGGCCACATACACATACATGTCCACACAAACAAACGCACAGAATGACTGGTATTCAATCAATGTTCATCCAATTTTCAAGTATTCTATCTCTGTAAAAAATGCATTGCGTATCTGTTGTCAGCATCAAAAACATTTTGTCAGTTAATATTATTTTAGTTTTCAATTGAACAACAACAACAAAGATCTGTTTTGTTTTAAAAAGCTTTTGACACCGCTACTTTTTAAATTGGTTCATTTTTGACCGATGAAAACGATTGACCTCCTATTTTATTTTGGATAGAACCATGAGCTATGCCCGCATATTATTGAAAGTAATACTCGAATTACTCTCAATCGATTACCAAAATAAAATAAAAAGAAAAAAGAATCACTAACCAAACAAAATGGGTGAAACGAATATTAAGCAAATCGTATCGTTTAAAAAGTAGTTAAAAAAAAAACAAACGCATCGACAAACTGCAACCACAGCCATAGTGTCGCTAAATTGATTTGTATTTTTTTCACTCACTTTTGTTATTTTGGGTTTGCGAATGTTTCTGTTTCTAAAAGAACAAAAAATCGTTAACCTTTTTTGACTCGTTTTTTTTATATCTCTCTAATCAAATTAAATTTATACAACAACAACAACAACAACAACAACAACAACAAAAAAAACTGATTACAATTATTAATTTAATCAATCAAAATCACAACAACAACAACAACAAAATATTTCCAAAGACCAAACCAAATCTGACAAAATGTTTTTGTATGTTATATCACAGATGACGAATGTTTCTATGTTGGAATGGCTCATCAAGCGCAATCAGCTCGCAAAGGCAATAATTATGTACCGAACGATTATCGACCATTTCAATGCTGTCCAACGAAATTGGAGCGTCAAACGCGCGTGCCAAAAATGTCGGCGCAAAAATTAAGCCATCAAAAGGACTCCGATGATAAGTCACGCAAATCGCAATTCGAATTCAACGATGCAAAGTCAAGCAGCAGCAGTAGCAGCAGCAAAAGTGCCAGCGGCAGCAGTTCCCGCAAGAGTGATGGCAAATCAAAGGCTGCCAACGAATCGAAATATAGCAGCTCATCCTCATCGAAAAAGTCGAGCAACAGCAAAAAATCCAAACAAAATAACGATGACGACGATGATATTGTTGTCCCGGTGAAGGAGCTTAAGAAAGCTGCACCAAAAGGCAAAGACACAAACAAAGCAAAACCAGGTCAGAAGGGTTTGTTGGGTATCGCTAAAATTGTTAATTGGTTTTAAAAAAATAAAAAATAAACAGCAACAAAAAGAAACATTTTGTAAATCGTAGAATTTTGCACAAAATTAATTGTTTAACAAACGATACCTTACACCATATACACACACACATACACCAACATCATCTCGTAGCCTTTTCTTAGTTTTATTTTTCACCGGTGCCGAATGGACTTTCCAATCAATGCGCACGCATATTATAAAACGATTGATTTGTGTTTATCACACATCCATTCACGATTCTTGATTCATTCGTAATTTGAATGATTCCTTTCAAAGCGAACCATTTTCATTTTTCTTCTCTTGATCAACTCGTCAATTCAACTTCAATTGTTGTCTCATTTTATTTATGATTCGCTAAAAATATTGTCAATTTTCTTAGTTTCCAAACTAAATGATTGAATTTACAGTGTTAAGAGTGTGCTCTAGTTGGTCAATGACGAAATAAAACACCATCCATATTCATATCCAACAGAATTGTGCGCATTCGTTCATTCGTATTTTTTGTGTTGATGTTGTGTGTAGGGGAAGTTTTTTGTTTGTATTCTTCTTTCTTTTGTTGCACAAATACACACACAAAGCATCTAATTAAATAATCTCAACAGTTTACAATCATCACAATCAACAAACAAACAATCAAAAATGCAGTCCGACAACAAAACCAATTCATTTTTTATTGATGTTATAGGAATTAACAATCTAGACAATCTAGTACGAGCTGTACGTAGTCAGATAAAGGTTCTGTTTGGTGCCGATTTCCTAGATTTCTAAAAACAAATTATGTCATGCTAAGCGCGCTTAATGTAATTACCGTTTAAAACAAAGTACTATTTACCAGAAGAAAAAAAAACAACAACAAAAAGATCAATCACGTAAAAGTACACACAAGATGAATTTAAATTTCGATTGAAACTATTCTGTGCAAGTCATAAAAAAATCTTCTTTTTTTTCAAAGAGCTAGAGACTTTTGATCAATTCACATGCATTGTTAATCATAAAATTCAGATATTTTTGTTTCTTTCATACGTTATCATTGTTATTTTCGGAAAAGTTGAAGAAAGAAAACCAGTATGGATCAAATTAAAATCAATCACACGCATACACACACGCCCATTATCATTTTTCTTGCATAAATTTTGAAACAAATTATGTACAAATAATCACATCAAAATTTTTAATATTGCCGTGTTTAGTGAGATTTACACACAATACAAAAATATATATCATTGAATCAATAAAAAAAAAAACAATATCAAAGGAAACGCATTTCTTTTTACAAAAAAAACCACGATGCATTAAGAGAATGCCATATTTTGCTATTAATTCTTTATTCTATCTCTGTATGCCTCAAATCTTCATGCCGTCTAATATAAACGCGTTTTTTTTTATCACACGTTACATTTTGTATATATGCTATTAAAATTTCTTGTTTTTATCTCTTTTCTAATTGTTTTTTTTTTTCAATTCTTGTTGAGTCTCAGTTAATAGTTTTTTTTCTCGTGTGTTTGTGATATTGATAAAATGATATACGTTTGCAAAATGAAAATTAAAAATAAAAATAAAACCAAAAATAGGAATTGTGTTTGAAATAAGTTGTCTGTCTGTGAGACCATCGAATGCAAATAATTTATTGTATCTATATATATATTTAATCTCTAAACAAGAACAGGGACAGCTAAAGTGTACTTGTATAAATAAGTGGAGATGTAAATCATTTGTGTCTTATCGACAGCAAAAAGGCAATACAAATGGCTTTAAATGGATTTAAATGGTGTGGGACGAATTTCCAACACATTTATATAAGTTCGATTTCGATTATGATTTGCAGATTATTTTAATACACCCATATCTATGTAAAAGACTTGGATTGATTTTTCTTTGTTCCAAACAAACAAAAAAAAGCAAAAAAAAAACAATAAATGCGAATGAACCATCTGATTTTTTTTTATTTAGTTGTGTAATGTAATTTAATGTGTACATACATTAAAAGACTATTTTAAAGAGAATGATAAAAAAAACAAAAACCACAAACTATTTTAAAAATTAAACACAATCGAATGATCAAGAAAATGTGTACAATGTTTTTTTAAAAAATAAATCAGATTGTTAAAAGCTTGTTTTTTAAGAAAAACGTTGATTAACAAATAAAGCATCGATTTTGATTTTGTCAAAGAAAAAAAAACACACACAAACAAAAACATTTTCACACACAGAGAGAAAAATCCCCTTACTGGAGTTTAAAGATTGCAAACAAATGTCGATTATTTCTTATTGAGCGAGCGAGCGAGCGAACAAGTGAGTGAAAAAGAAATTGAGTGAATGTTGGATAAAATCACCTGTAATTCATATTCAATCATGGAATGTCCATAGTTTTGCGAATCCCCGTGTGCAAATATTGTAACTGATCAGTCTTTTAACTAATTTCGGACAAAATGAATTACTTTGATTGACATTTCAGTACAACGTGTAGTGTAAGTCGATCAAAGTTAAGTGAAATCATTAAAGTTACAAGTCAAAATAAATTGCTTTCTTCGTACAAAAACATAAATTCAATCATCTACAGTTAACTGAATCTAAAGTCAGTCAGTCATTTTTTTTTCACACGGGTCGTCATCGATCAAAATTGAAATCTAGTCTGAAACTTGTCTGAAAAATTGTTATTTAAACAATATGAAATATGACGTATCTTCTCTGCTGGGGTTTCAAATTTTATTGATATTTTCAATTTCGTAGGTATTAAATTGGTCGTCGCTGGTTTATTTCGAAGAATAATTGTACAAGTTTTTCCGCGCATTTTTGTTTATACACAAGTGGACATTTCTTTTTTTTTCTTCTTTCAATTAATCTAATAACAATTTAAAACATTCACAATCATATGCTAACTCATCAATTGAAAGCAAATGGAAACAAAAAACAAGTGATTCAAATTAGCGGCTGCAGTGCGTAAGTAAGCGTATATGTATAAAAAGTGTTCGTAACACAGATTGAGTTGTTGTCTTGTTCTCCTTCTTGATTATTGACTTTTAGGGAATTTGGAAAATGAAACCGATGTTTTGGATTGGATGATTGAACAGAAGACTGACGAAAGTATCGAAGAAATCGATCGTCACACTTTGTTTGAATACATTACGTCGAAAGATTTCTTGGCGGTTGTGTTTTGTAAGTTGAAGCCCATTAGAAATGAATGAACAGTGTGTGTGTGTGAACCGAATTTTCGTCTTGTTAATACGAAACCATTTCCATTTCAAAGATGATCCAGAAGATCCAGATGCACGACGCATTTTGCGTCACATTGAATTGATCGATGATGAAGCATCCGAGTATGGTATAACAATAGTTAAAACCACCGATAAACTAATGGCAAAAAAATATGGCTACAGAAAGTTACCGGGATTGACATACTTTAGAAAGGGTATTAAAAAGCACCACTAACACATGCTCTCCAGACAGATTGTCATATGATAAATGCAAATTTTAGGCAAGAACATCAACTACGACGGCGACATTGACGACGAAGAAGAAATCCTTGACTGGCTCACGCTACCAGATAACATGGAAATGACCGATCATATTGAGCGGGTCAATCGCAAGATGTTTCAAAAAATTCGACAAACATCTGATTACTTGGCAGTTTTTCTATGTAAATTGCATTGCATTCTCTTCTAGAAATTCTATTACATTTGGTCCAAAAAAAACACACACGTAATTGTTCGAATATCGAATAATTTGGAAAGTATGGAGGTAAGTAAGATGAGTCGAATGGTAAAATGGTGTGTTTGACTTTCAGACAGTGATGATTGCAAACAGTGTCCCCGAGTACTGGCAGAGATTGAGCACATTGATGACGAGGCCGATGGTGCGGGCATTAATTTTGTAAAAATTGATGACAAATCGATGGCCAAGGAGTTTGGCGTCTTTGCATTGCCGGCCATCCTATTTTTCCGTCAACACTCCAAAGAGCCAGTTATTTATGCCGGTTGGTTGGATGTGTGAGCCACCGAATAATAATCCATCGTTTATGCTGACTCGAATTTTATCCTTCAATTAGGTGATTTATACGAAGAAGATCAAATCCTAAATTGGCTAATGACACAAAAAGATCCAGGCGGTGATGTGATTGAAGATTTGGAAGGACAACGACTCATCGATTTGATTGCAGAGTCCGGTTCAATGGCCGTTTACTTCTGTAAGTTTATGATTTTCCAATGAATTCAATGGACACACATTCGAAACCAAACCATTGACGCCCAATCGAAATATTGTCCGTTCATTTCCAACCAAATCGAAATCCGTATAATGTTCATAGTATAGGTCAAACAAACACAAAAAAATAAGAACGATCGACATGGACCACATTAATTATCTCTCAATTTCAATTAACATCCATTCGACTGAATTTGATTGATATCAAAAATCAAACAAAAAAAAAGTGCAAACCAACCAACATTTACTCCATTCTCTTTTCTCACTCTATCTCTATCTATCTATCTATCTCTTTATCCCACTATCCAATTTCAACATTTACAATTTATTTAAATACTCAAATAATTCGTTGATATGATAAAATGCTAGGGAACAAGACCCTTTGTGACATATGCAGTTCAAAAACAATACGAAAAGCGCGCATGAAAAAGGAAAAAGAGGCGCCGCCAACTATCATCGAACCACCATCAACTGATAATGTTGACGAATTGGCCACGACCACAGCACCACCACCGCCACCCCCAACAACACCAACGCAACATCATCACGGCACACATGATGAGGGTATTTCCATATGATGGTTAAATCCAAAACAAACAAAAAAACTATACTCAACTTCTCCTCTGAGCCAAAAAAAAAAACAAAAACATGAAACTTGTAAACTATTTTACTCAACAGAAAATCAAAACCAAAAACTCATAGAGATACATTTCAACTAGTTGCGATTGCACGCATTTAACTGATGTGTCCCAAAACCAAGCCAAAAACAATGCAACAAACCAATTGAATGCGAAATTGAATCCCCCCTTTGAGAGTGGTTGTTCTTGTTGTTGACATATTCGAATGGTGTTTGTTTTAGGTCGATAGACCCCTTTGTAGTGAGTAGTTTTGTAGCGAAGCATCTGCTCTCCCTCTAGATGAACCTTCCTCTGATAAAACAAAACAACATCAATACCCAATTTTAGTCTCGATTCACCAAGCTCAATTGATGGAGTGATTGATTACCTAGGGCATACAATTGTATTATACACATGAACATGAGTGCCGTTTTACTTGTTTTGAACACAGCATTTCACTTAGATGGTATAGATTTGTACATTCAAGTTTGTTTGTTTCAATCGTATAAATTATTTTTTTGACCGAATGTTGAAATTCAACGAACCAGCTGAAACCATTTGGAGAAGTCTACATAGATGTTGTCGATCAATTTTCGTTCCAAAACATTTGAGTGTTGATTAAGTCGTTTTTTTTCTCTGTACTTTTGATTCATTTTTTCATGCAAACTTAGATACCGACGACTGTGAACAATGCACGAAGACATTGGAGGAGCTGGAAAATATCGACGATGATTGCGATCGGCATGGCATCACCTTTGTCAAAACAAAAGATTTTTCCGTTGCCGAGCAATTCGGTGTTCATGATTTCCCTGCGCTTGTCTACTTTGAAAGCAGTATTCCGAATGTATTTGAAGGTAGGATCGATCATAGTGGCCGGTTGTCGATTTGTAACTGGCAAATGGTCACCGTATCGAATGAAGTAGCTAAAATTGCTTTTGGTTTTTAGGTCAACTGAATGAAGAAGAGGAGGTGCTGCAATGGTTAATCACGCAAAAAACCGAAGATCGTATCGAACTGATAACAAGGCAAATGCTTGAAACAATGGTCGAGGACACTCAGTATTTGGCTGTCTATTTCTGTAAGTCGATCAGCCTCGATGTGCTATTCTTCAGCAAACATATCTTGTTGAGAATGGCAAACAATCAAGTGGTGAACACAGAATCCTTTTTTTCTCTCACTTTTTTTTTCTTTTTAAACCCAAAAACTATTCTCAAAATTATTGTATAAAAGGGAAAAATGCGTGCAATTTTTATCTCTTTCTAGACTTTCACCAAATTTCCAAATCTTTTTTTTAATTTGGTTTTTGTTAGCATTGAAATTTTTTTGAAAACGAAAATTTAGCATAAAATAGTGTATCCCAATTAGTATCCCGAAAAGCATCATCAAAATGATATCATTAACATTTCCAATTCCAAATATATGAAAATTTACAAAATTTTGCGAAAACATTAGCACCTGAACGGTTTCAAAATCAGCCATCTTATTGCCGAAGCCTTTGTTCACCTCTTCCAAAAAAACTAAAAATCAAGGACTCACAGAATCCATTATTGCTAGAGTATTTGGAACGTAAAAAGCAAATCGTAGAAAAGCAAGGTATACACACACAAGTTAAAAAAAAAAAAAATAAACAACGCTCGATGGCAAAGTGGCAAAAGGTCAATGTTGCTTTTCTAAACAAACAAACAATACGTTTCATCTCGAAATTTTAATTGCATAACGCTTCTGGGTTTGTGCGAAAATTTGACGTTTTTTTTATTCTCATTTCAAACACTAACACAAACTACTGGTCGCTTAATGGCATCAAATTGACGATGGACATCAAATTGAACAAATTAATCGATCTTTCTAACTATTTTTGGGCTGAACTTTGGTATTCAGCATGAGTTGATTGATCCTTATTTCATTCAATCCCAAAACAACATTATCTGTAATTTACAACACCGAAAGTATCCATTTTCAAAAATCGTCCATAAAATAAATGTTTGAAAACCATTTGTTTTTAAGGCTTCAATAAACAAATCTGGTGTGTGTGTGTGTCTCTCTCTCTCTCTCTCTCTCTCTCTCTGTGTGTGTGTGTGTTTAATTTGGCTTGTATGGGAATTTATCAGCGATAAATGCAATAAAAAATTGTTTTAGCGCTGGCTTTTGTCGAGTCGCTTTTGATATCGATTCACCTAATACAAATGACTCATTTTAATCGATTGAATTTTTGCAGAGTATTGATGATGATTGAACCTCTTTCGTTTTAATAGATAAAATCAATTGCAATATTTGCGATCAAATTCTCGAAGGTCTTGAGTTGATCGACGATGAATGCGATGTGTTTGGTATTCACATGGTGAAAATACAGGATCCACAATTGGCCAAACGGTATTCGATTAAAACGTTCCCCGCACTCGTTTACTTCCGCAACGGTAATCCATTGCTGTTCGAAGGTGACATGCAAAACGAACAATCCGTGCTCGAATGGTTGATCGACGACGACAATCGTGAACTGGCCGACGAAATCGAGGAGGTTAACGACCGTATGTTGGAACGCTTATTAGATGAATCGTCACTCTTGGTCGTATTTTTCTGTGAGTCGATGACAAAAGAACCATTCTTTGTTTTGAATTTCTCTCATTGAAATTAATTGTGTTTGTGCTCAACTCCAGATGAAGAAGATTGTGCAGAATGTGAAGAGATCCTCGAAGAGCTTGAACAAATTGACGGAGAAGCGGACATGTTTGGTATTGATTTTGTGAAAATTGCCAGTCATGAAGCAGCACAAAAATATGAAGTTAGCAGTATTCCAGCGCTGGTTTATTTCCGGTAAATTCCAATCGAATCATGCATTTATTCATGTCGCTAGTCTCATTTTAAAATTATTTAAATGGTAGTAAACAAGTTCCGATGCTCTATGATGGTGATTTACATCAGCATGACCGTATTTTGACTTGGCTCACCTCACAGGATGTCTTCGAAATTAAGAGTGAGTTTAGACAATGGATTCTATTCAAATGAAGTACATCTCCATCATTGACGTTTAATTAATTAATTTTGCCATTCTTTCTGCCCTCTCTTGTTTCACATGACAATGGAATCATCGAAGATGAGATAGAGGAGGTCAATCGGAAAATGTTGGACAAATTGCTTGAAGAGAACGAATTCTTAGCGGTTTATTTTTGTAAGACACACTCGGAAATTTCAATTTTGTAAGAAAAACAAGAGAAGATAAAAGAATGATAAATTCCATATGTTTGCTACAGATGAAGCTGACCATCCCGACAGTACGCTAGTCTTGGAAAAATTGGAAAATATCGATAGCGAAACCGACAATTTGGATATAACATTTGTTAAAATGTCCGATTCAAGATATGCACGCAAATGGGGTGTCACTAAATTACCTGCAATCGTTTACTTTAGAAAGCGATTCCCCAGCATATATCGAGGTAAATGGGCCGAATCGAATGAATCGGTTCAGATTCAAGCGAAAATATTCATTTCATTCTTCTGAATCCTGAAAAGAACCGAATTCTTTAATTTTTCACATTAAATATAGTCAAGTGCTTTACATTCAGTTCATCAAAAAAAAATTCAATAAAAACCCAAAAACAATTCACTCATTCGATTTTGAAAACTATTTTTAGGTGATTTGCTATCGGAGGATGAGGTTCTTGAATGGTTGCGCAAAAATCGTTTCAGGCAACCGGAGCTAAATATATTCATGTACGCTCTGATTGCAATTTCAGTTGCATTCGTACTGTATACAGCATTTTTGCTACAATGTTTCAAGCCACCACCTTCACCAGCACCTTCAGTTCACGTAAAACAGCAATAAATAGACGATTGAACCCACAAAACCGACAATAGAATTTTTATTTATTATTTTGAATATCAATTGCTCTCTTAGTAAACGCAACAGCAACGCTCTAGCAGCAGCAGTGTCACAAACGTAGACCTCTCGGGCGCTCAATAAATCATTCAATTTTCTCATATACATATACGAACGTTGGCGTGTAAAAAAAAGAAGAAATTATGGATCAAATTCATCTGATTCAAAGAGGCCTGATGGACATGCTGTATGATCTCCAGTAATCACCAGTATATGTTTAGCTGATGTTTTGTTGTTTGTTGTTCGTGTCATTATTACGAGCCAATGTGTGCGCTTTTATGCAAGACACTTACACACTTACACACAGCAAACGGTCCACTAAGTATACATATAGGGTTTAAAACATTTTTTTTTCTTCTCAATTATAGTTTATGCTAAAACAAAAGTTGTATTTCAATTGTCGCCGCGTTGAATCCTTTCCATATTTTTATAGAAGTTCATTCAGCAATCAATCGAATTATGTAAATGTATAATAAAAAAAAAATATATCAATTTATTTTCAGGTTATTTTCAAGGTGAAGTTGAACGCATTCGTTTCCAACATTGCGTTTGACAAAGTCTTCTATTTAAGAGAGAGAAAAATGAAAAAAAAAATTACACACACTAGATCTTAAGTCGACCAGTTTGCAGTAGGCAAAAGCGCACATTTGAAATATAATCAAAATGAATTGATACAATAAAACAAATAAATGAAGCACAAATCAAAAGACGCCGCCAATCAATGTTTAATTCAATGAATTTTACTGTAACAATAAAGTAATGATTAAAATATGTAATTTAAAAACAAAACCAAAAAATTGTTGTTATTTCCTTAATCGTAGCGAAATGGATGTAACTGTTCAATTCATGACCAACAGAGGTCGCTGTATGTGCCTCATTTTATGTTGTGGCTGTTTGACAGGCGCAAATGTCAAACATCGATTGAAGTTATTATGAGTATTTGTTTTGAATTGCATTGTTTTGCCTGTCAACTCAGCGATATCGCTGGTTCGTGTGCATATAGAACAAATTAACCCAGTTTCATTCAGATTGAGCGAGTTCAAAGCACAATGTCCGTGCACACAAATTAAACCAACGAAAATGGACAGACAATTCGATAGATGTGAATGGTTTCGTTACTGATTTGTCATTGCAATTATTCGGTGCAAATTAATTTGATTGAAAAGTGAGTAAAGGAATGTGTGTTGTGTATGTGCGGATGAGCCCAAAAGGAATTTTACTACAAGTAGTTGGCAAGGGAGTAGAGAAATAGACACACACAAACACACTAACGTACACAAAGGCGTATATACGATGAAAACCGAAGTGAAGAACCCAACGAACACAAGATGATGCATAGTATCAGACAGTGAGTTTACTATATAGCAAATTCAATCTCAAGTATAGACCAAGCAGATAAAATAAAGAAGAAGAACAAGAAGAATTCAAATAGAATCGCATGCTCCGCTCTCTCTCTCTCTCTCTCCGTCTCTCTTTCTCGTATTCAAAGTATGTATTTCACTTGGCCGCATTCATCCAAACACACTCGCACACATTTCATCATACAAAGGCCGACATTGACGTTGAATAGGTTTGGTTTCGACTGTTGCCGTTGTTGCTAACTTTTTTCTCGTCTACAAACATTCGACGAAAAAAAAACACACGCATGTATTCGCTCTTTATCATTTTGCTTGTTTACGTTCTTTGAAGAAAATTACATGCTACGATATCACACTAATACACATCTCGTGCACTAGCCCATGTCACACACTCACACGAACAACCGAACGTACAAACGAACGAACATTGAGTCTGAACGCGAGATAAAGTTAAATGTACCAAACAAGCGAAAACATCAAATGCAGTTGCCAAATCAGTCTTTATTGAGCAACGAGCCAATTGGTCAGCTGTGTGTATACACCAAAGACTGTGTAGCCCGTTGTGTTTTACACCGAATCGAAATTTACGACCACATTCTGTTTTTTTTTTTTTTTTTTTCGGGAAAAATCACCGTTTGAACATTTATTAAAAAATCGATTGTTTTTTTGGGGCAAAACTAAACATTGAATAGAAGAAAATTACGACAAAAAATAAGTAAAATCGTGATTCCTTGAGAGAGATTTTTTCGTTTTTTTTCTGTTGTTGTTCGTTGTGTGCAGATCTCATGATACAGTTTAGTATATTTGTGTGTATTTTTTTTCGGAAGAAAAGTGCTAGTTTCACTTCATTTACATATCGCTATTTTGTCGGATGAGCATTTTGTAAATGAGTTTTGCTTTTAATATTGAACAAAAATAGATCGATCACCGTACGAATGGCGAGGCTCAAATGAAACGATTCATGAAAATGCTGATTGCGCCGGATGAAATTGAACATAAATAAAATTAAAATCGTAGGAGTTTCGACATCCTAGTTCTAGTAGTAGTGGGTTGTGTTTTTTGTGTAAATTGTGCTGTTTCCTTTGTGTATCATATGCAAATCATTGTTTGACGTCTTCTTTTGCGGTTTTGCATTGCCTTTTGTTCGTATCCAGTTCGAGAGTGAACGTACATAGCAAAGACGTTGGGTGTCAATGCACCCATAAAACTTAAATAAGATCCAATGAGACTCTTGGGTGCCGATTTATCAAATAAATATAAAATGATACTGCTGGTTGAAGATGAAAGTGAACTTTGAAATTGTTTACTTGGTTGTATTTGGCGCTCCAAAAAAGGAGAAACAAGAATTGGAACAAAAACAAAACATTATTTGGAATTTTGTAAAAGCTTGAAATGAGTTCAAGTTGACTGAATGTCGAACACATGCCGAACAAATTTCACTGGCTGGACCAAAATGCCGAAAAACCGAAAAGTTTACTTTCTCTTTTTTTTACTCTAGCAAGTGAACGTGACAACATTTAATCACTTGTTGCTCGCAAGTGGCTTGCCATTTTTCCCCCCATCCATTGGCTGATTCTTGCTGCTTTATTGGAATTCACATTACGGAAGTGTGCCATTTCTTGGCGCAGCTTCATTCATGTGTGTTGTTGTTGTTTTTGTTTTTGCCGCTGATGGCCTCAATGAAACATACATAGACTTATGTAAATATTTATGAATTCACCGTCGACAATTAGCAGCTACTAATTTAGCGTTGACACTTTTTCTGCTGTTCATTGGTGCGTGGCAACATGTGACAAAAACTATAAACAACATCTTCAATCATCATCGATAAAACGATCTTGTGTCACATTCATTGTTTTGTTTATTATCTTTATCAACGCATCGAAAACACGACATGATCTATTTGTTGAATCGGAAACATTTCGCCCAATTTTAACATCGCAAACGATGCAATAAACGGATTACAATAAAAAAGAAAACAAGTTTTACCATATCTTTACATTACATAATGACCGTAACAATATCAAGCCCAACACTTTATCAATGTGTGCTGTTTTTGCAGTTGTGCTCAATTCCGATCGTACGAATAAAGTTTGTTATTTCGCGTTGAGTTTGTTTAACTGAATTATAGAAGAAGGTGAACATCGGCAACAGACTCTTCTCAAATCACATGTATAAACAAAAAAAAAACGTTGAATCACATTCTGAGAGGTAGTTTGCCAACGCATTCACCGCCGTTTTTTAGCACTTCATGAAATGTAAAGCTACTAATCTGCTTTTTTTTTCTTAATACTTTTCGAGTGATGAAACAAATTATGGTGAATTTGAATTTTATGCTCATATTTTTTATTTAATTCAAAACAGTGGCAGTAACGACAAATAAGTGCACAATATCTCGAAGCGCCAATCAAATTTTTATTATCAAATGTTGTTTAAAAATTACATTAATTTGTCGTATAATATTTTCTGAGTCTTGACCAGAATTAAAGTGATTTTAGATTCTATGCTCATATTATTTATTTAATTTAAACCAAAGGCAATATATTTCAAAAAAGAAATAAAACCAAGGTCTTGTCATTCATTTTGCAAATAAATATATTACTTCAAAGTTCAAAGTTACTTTGATGAAATACATTTCATGTAGTGCGCCAAAAAATAGTTTGTTGTGAAACAACAAAATAGATTAAGTAACTAAAAACTCAAGAACGCAGAGCGGAGCGAAGCTGCAATCAAGTCTCTGTGCTCTAATCAAGTTCTATGCAAATGCAATTGATTTCTATTAGCCGTATTGTACAGATTGTGAAACAGACACCGCGCACATTTTTTCCCTTGTCGTCGGTCGTTTTTGTCGCTTTTTTTGTTGTTGCTGACGCGCAAACTGATATGAAATTATGGCATTTGATGTTTATGAACTCTCGGTTAAACTTGAATCACGTCAAACCTTCGAAACAAAAGAGCCCGTAAGCCGCTCGCATGTGTATGCCACAACTCATGAAGAAATTGGATTGTAATGCTTTCATGTTTTCAATTTCCACAATGTGCATCAGTCGCGCGAGCCTTTGATGGAAAATCTGTTGTAAATAAACAATATAAAATGGGAATACAATACATGTATACACACACTCACGAACTAAATTTAATTTTCGCTTGGATTTGCAGTTTGTTGCGCAAACGCAACGGAAAAAAGTGTATGTATGAAATAACATACACGCTTCCATTTGAAGTTTCGGATACCCAAAATAGCATAGCCATTGTGTCAAAAGACGGTGTGTATGTAGGAGATTCCCATGCAGTCAATCTAACAATCTATGACATACACGTTTTTCTGCATATTTTCCAGAGTCAGTGAATGTTTTCATACAGTTGACACTTGATAGTGAAACGGATACCACATAAAATGCGACACAATTTATAAGCGGCAATCGCATTTCAATCAAAACCATCATCATTCAACTGATTTTTGAAATAATTTTCAATTGTTTTGTGGTTTTGTTTTATGTGTAACATTCCATTTTGGGATCTAAAGTGAATATTTGGCAGCCACAACTTGGTTTATTCCATTCAAAATTTCAAATTTGCTATTCCTGAACCCGAAATGTGAGTACATTATTGTTTACTTTAATCTCATCTTTGATGGAATTAACAGACAACAAACGTAATATATGATTAGATAACAGAGTGTTGGTAAAAATATTTTCGAATGAAGAAGATAAGGCATTAAAGGCAGTTTTCAGCCAACAAAAAAAAAGAGCTGAATCGAAATCTTAGTTTTCATTGGCACGAATGGAAAATAGAAAGAAAAAACAAAACCATTGAAGTGATTTGAAAGAGGTCAATTTTCCACCTTGAATTCAGCCAAGGTTACTTTTTGATTCTGAAGCGCCGCCAACATGTGCGATTCAATCAAATCACGAAACGAGACACATCGAACATTTTTTTATTGCTCATCACAACACTTCTCTGTGCGTATCCTTGAACTTAACGGCAACCTTGAACATGAAAATGCTCCATTTTATGTAACCATTTTTCCCGCGTGCACTGCAAATTACCTCGACTCGAGGGCTCTGCAATTTATAAAATGCATAGAACGCACTCAATCTCATCATCATTTCTACTAAAAATGGAACTATTGGATAAATTTCTTTTCTCTTCTTTTTTTTTCTTCAGCTATTTTTGGACTGTATCCAGGAAGGAATGTGTTTAACGGAGATTCATATGATTTCCATAGAAACGCAATCCAAATTGAGCAGATTTGTCCATGAGATACGTGAAGCATAAATGTTAAATTATGAAATTGGGTGAAATCGTCGCTTGGTAAGTAACGATGTAAACTGTTGACATCTTCAATATTTCTCTCTCGTTTGTTCGTTCGTTCGTTTGACGCAATTCGGATTATTCATTGTATGCGTTATGTGTGTGTAGGTATCAGAAGAAAATCGGTACTTATGACAAACAGCCATGGGAGCAGTTGGCAACAGTTGAGCATCGTATACTCAGTGGATTTGTAAATACTCCATCAAAAAATGTAGCTGCGCGTACTGAATACATCGATGTGGATTTAGTCAGAGGTATTTGTCTATTATTTTCATTTCTGTGTAATTTCTTGGGATTTGTCTGTTTTCTAAATGTCAGAGTTGATATAGCCACCTCATAAGTGCGGGAACTTGGTTTGGTGTGGCACCCACCACTATTTTATACGAATATTTTTGAGTATTTTTGAACTTGATACAATTTTTCAGAATTAAGTCTGTGATATTTATTTTAAAAAAATAAATCAAATTCCAAAATACCCAAAATAATTTTTTGGATTAGGTTACTAGGTGACGCACCCAACGAAGTAAGTGCCGGCACCGGCTAGGTACCTATGTCAGCTCTGCTAAATTCTAACCACTCTTCTTCATATCGATAACACAGGTTCAACATTTCCAAAAGCAAAACCGAAACAGGGTCTCTTAACTGTGCTACGACTGGCAGTTGTGCGGTATTTACTGTTGCCATTGTATGCAAAATGGTGGGTGGCACAGACATCGTCGCGTATATTTGCATTTTTATTCTTTTTGTATGCGATGCAAATGTTGAACTGGGCCATTTATAGCTATAATGTGAATAAACCACAAAGCAAATCGAATGAATCGGATACATGCAGTGCCAACGGTAGTCAAGATGAAAAATCCACAATCGATTTCATTTCGATTACCGATTTAGTGGTGCCAATGTCATTGAGTCTATTGCTTAGTTTAATCCATTCACAAATTGTGGCCACATCGACCACCAATCTATCGGCATCCGATAAGCTAAACAAAGGCCCAATTCAACCGAATCGCAAGAAGCGCGAACGCAAAAAACGACGTAAATCAACACGATCACGGTCATCGTTGAACACTTTAGTTTGCAACGAAACCAAATCGAGGACCAATAGCTTGATTGAAGAAAAAGAAGCAATTGAAGCGAATGTACAAATAGGCCGGCGATTAAGTTCGCCGCAGCAACAACAAGAACAATCACAACAACAACAACAACAACAGCCACAGCAAAAAGAGAATGAGGTGAGCGACTCAAACTGTTCGCCGCCACGTTTGCGAAAGCGCAACGTCAACTGGCGTTCACCAATCAAAAGCAATTCCATCGCGCCCGATGCCCGAAATTCCCACGACATGGAAGAAGAGGTAATGGTGCGAATTCAAGACAATGACAATCGAAACGAAAACGAAAACGAAACCATTGCTGCTGATGATGATGGCTTCGAGAGCCTCAATGGCAAAAGCTCAAGCGGCGAAGAAATGTCCGCACTGAATAATGGCCAAGCAATCGATGCACAAAATGAAACGACGCATCGCAGCAGTAATCAGAAATACGCGAATAGTGCCTACCTAATGGGATCATTTGATGAAAATGATGCAAACAATAACAGTGATAACGATCGAATTAATGGAACCAATAAAATTGCTGAAAACGTGAGTATGATCGACTTTGAGTCCTGGCCAGCCATCGACGAGCAATCAAATGAAAGCACATGTATTTTTTTTTCTCTCCTCGTATTTTCATTGCAGAATTGTGATAAAATAAATATGCGCCATTTATTGACGTTGAAGTGCTCGCGCGGCACACCCGTTTTTAGTAATAGAGATAATTTAAAGCGGTACACAAGTGATGAAGAAGACGAAGAGGACGAAGTTGACGGTGGTTCACAGCAATCTTCGCCAACGTTGGCTCACAAACCGATAGGCGAGGGCACATCGTCGGCAGCTGAATGGATCGGCATAACGACCAATAGTGAAGAGTGCAGCTACAGTTCGGCGGATAATTCCGAATCACAATTGGAGTACTCAGAGAATAATGGCTGTGAATGGAATGATTACGTCACACCAACGGTCATTTTGAATTCGAATTGTGCCATCGGCGATCGAAGTGAGTATTCTGCGATGACTGTAGTTAAATACGATTTTTCACACACTATGTTCAACTAATACCAATTTCAGTAAACTGCACCATCTGGGATGGGCGAGAATTGAAAAAGATCGAGATGTCTGTGCTCGAAATATCATCGGCTATTATAAAGCGAGTGGAAGCAATTCCAGAGACATGTGATTACGTTTACATTGGTCTTGTATTCAGTCTAGTCTTATCGCTGGTTCCTGCCTTTTGTCGTCTGTGTGAAGTACGTAGTCATCCAACTTTCTCTTTCGAAGATGCAAAACATATTTTTTCAAACAACCAGACTATTTGACTAGAGCAACAAATTGTTACTTTCACATTGGCTAGTATAATAATTTACCATTCACTTTCCAGGCCGTAATTAATTCGTCAGAATCGAATGAGATTAACTTTTTAGATATGCCAGCGTTGCTACTGGAGAAAACGTCATTTTCGTATGAGCAAACGTTGCGGTTGGCATTTGGGGAGACAACTTGGCAAAAGACCGTGTTGTTCATCGATTTCCTGTTACGATTTTCGTTAACGTTTCTGTTCTTCTTCCTGTTGGCGGTCGCTGAACGCACGTTCAAGCAACGATTTTTGTATGCCAAACTTTTCTCGCATTTAACATCATCGCGGCGCGCTAGAAAATCCGAGCTACCACACTTCCGCTTGAATAAAGTTCGTAATATCAAGACTTGGCTTAGTGTACGTTCCTATCTCAAGGTATGAATTCCTTTAACTGTAATTGTTATTTCTATTCTCATTTATTGGTGTGTACGTGATGCCAACTAATTTTGTTTGTTTTACTTTGTCCAGAGACGTGGTCCTCAACGGTCCGTGGAAGTTATTGTATCGGGTTCATTCATCTTAACCCTACTTCTGCTGGCATTCTTGAGTGTCGAATGGCTTAAGGACTCCGTTCAATTGCAATCACAGCATACATTGGAAGCATTGATTTGGTCTTGTGCTTTGGGATGTTTCTTACTGAGATTCATGACACTTGGCACAAAAATCAATCGCAAATATCGCAGCATTTCGGTATTGATCACGGAACAAATCAACTTATATTTGCAGGTACCGTTATTGAATTACCCAAAGTGATCCGTTTAGTCTTTATTGCCCAATTTTCATCCTAATTCGATATCAATTTGCAGATTGAGCAAAAACCTCATAATAAAGATGAATTAATGGTCTCGAATAGTGTGTTAAAATTAGCTGCAGATTTACTTAAGGTAATTTCAATCAAATGACATTTTTTAAATTACAAAATTGCAATAATACCGTATGGAAATGTATTGCAAATTAACGAATTTGACCATTTCTTTTTCGAAACAGGAATTAGAATCGCCATTTAAAATATCTGGTCTCAGTGCAAATCCATATTTGTATACAACAATCAAAGTGGTTATATTGTCGGCATTATCGGGTGTATTAAGCGAAATGCTTGGATTTAAATTGAAACTGCATAAAATTAAAATTAAGTAGAATGAAATTGGACTTTGTTTATTTCTGGAGAGCTGGTGAAGGCCTTATTCTTTCCCAGTGCTTATATAGTGCTTTCTTGACCAGTCAACTAAATAACTATTTAGGATTACAAGAAAATTGTATATATATATATATATGCGAGAAAAAAAATAATATTGTAAATTTTCAACACCTCTCATGAGGAATTCGATTAGTGTGGCTTGAGCTTGTTTCAAATATTTTTGTCCACATCATTGTATGATTAAATTATTATTTATATGGTAGAAATGGGAACACCAAGGCGTTTCTATTTGCATGCATTTCCAACAAATTCGTCACAATCCTTCACATGAAATTCCATCACATCCAGTATTTTCTTTTTCATTGAAATCAAAGGGGTATTGCAACGACCATAAAATATATCTATTTCATCAAGTTTATCAAGCTCTTTCCAAGTTTATGCATAGTGTCGAACTTTTGTTCAAGCTCTACCATCTAAATGTACAGTAAAATAATTTACGGGCAAGACGTAAGATGGCGTTTTTCTGGTCAAAAAAAGTTGCAATATCCCCTTGATTGAAATAATGCATACAATTGTTTTCGATAACATACATTAATTTCGAAGAATATATAATGAGGATTGAGAAGAAAATTCACGTCATTAAATTGGAAAGTATTTTATTTTTGTTGTTCAAAAACTGATTTTTCAAAATTGAGCCACACAACACATTTATTCATCAAAAGAAACAGTGGATTAAAAATGTATATGTAGCAAAATATTAAGTATTCGTTGTGGTTTTATTTTAAAGACTTGAATTGAAATTGTAAACCAAATGGAAAATTCGTTTAATTTTAAGTTTATTATATGACCAAAAATTTTATTTGAAAATAACTGCAGTTATCATGGTAAAATTGGTTGAATCAAATAAGAATGATAATCATGATTCTTCTTCTCACTTATGAAATGTACGAATTTTGTAGTCAACACCGCTAAAATCAAGTTGTAATTAGATGTAGATGACATCTTGTACGAAAGTATAGGTGACATTTTGGAATTATTTTACTAAAGAATATGATAGATAAGCTTAGATGAAAATTTGTTTAAATACGAAGCGAAAAATTTGATATTGAAAAAAAAATTCGTCATGTTTTGCGCCTTTACTGTGTTTGAAAAACATCCTAGTAAAAATGACTCTTGATTATTTCTGAAATTCTCAATGGAGAAATATATTTTCGAAAATCAAAAATAAGCAAGCAGAAAAGAAAGCATAATGTTTGTGCATCCTATTCTTCCACTTAAGCAAATCGATTATTTTAACAGTATTTTCAGCAAATAGAGAAATTTTTTTAACACGTAGTCAAGCGAGAAAAAAATGCATAGTCAGGTAAAAAAAAAACCTATTAGAGTAGACAAATTTGTAGACACACAAATCACATATAATAAAGAAGAAAATCAGAGAAAGAGAATAAAACGAAAACAAGTTGTTTCCAAGTAGAAAGTAAACGATTTGAATAAGTTATGGACAGCCCTATATCGATGTGATACGATATATTTCGGATAACAATCGAAATACAAATGGTAGAGAAAAACTTCAAAAGAGAATCCACTGGCTGTTTTTTTGTGCAATTTGTTGCTTTTGCTCAAATACAAAACCGACGATCGAGTGACAAAGAAAACCCAGTACCGATTCAGAAGCATGCGGTGTGCATGTGAAACAGAACGAACCGAATGGAAAAGAACTAAAAGCATCGAACGACATTGTGCGGATGTGATGCTCATTCTATAGGCAATCGACACGAAAGAGACGAATCTACATTCACATCCACATTCATTCCGACATACATACACGCCCTACCGTCATCATTGTCGTCGTTGACTACATCACACGGATTACGTGTGCTATTCGTCTCTTTGTGTGCACATAGAATGCGAATCGCCTGATATTGTCGAGAGTATGCCTATCCCGCTCACCCATACACGCCGCGTTGTGTATATATATTTATTATTGTTATTTCTGTAGTCATTAGTAATATATGAAGCCAGTGCATGAGTAATATGGAGCGCCCGCATCGATATACCATTTAGTTTACAACGAAAAGTCATGGGAGCTGTTTGTCAAAAACGGTTAGTGTGGTTTGCGATTTTGTGTTTATGTTTCGGTTTCGTAGATTTGTTGTGTTAATAATTGGTGGTGTTGCAAAATTTTATTTACACGTTGATTTCCAATTAAAATTCCGCGTGGAATGTTTCGAAATAAACGTTTTTTGATCTTTTTTTTTGGGAATGTTGTGGCACAACTATCGAATCAATGAAAACAAACAAAATATTGGAGAAATTTATATGTTTAAAAATGAAATCATTCAGTTCATTGCGCACGTTTTTATATATTTTCTGTTGTTTTGAATTTCATTTTTTTTTTACAATGAATGTGATAATATGTTGAGATTGTCATTAAATTTTGCATTATCACATTTTAATTAATGAGCAAAACATTTCGAATTCCACGGTAATTTCCACGACAAATTGAATGCACACACAAAAAATTGTGCCAAAAATTGGCGGATCTTTCTCTCTTCGAACCGTCTATTAATACATGGATAAAAATCGGTTCGAAAAGCGGTTAGAGTTTAAGATAAGGGGCAGCAACACGCGCTATTCAACATATTTATTGAAAATAACTTGTTGATCATATCCACTTAGTGTTATTCTTTTTATTCTTTTCACAGGGTAAATTAGACATGGGCTCAAGTGATTGAAAACCCGCTTCGATTCTGTTTTAATTTGTTTGATCGCATACGGTTTCTCCGTCGAGACATAAATTGAGGTGAAGTGAGATTAAAAAAAAAGAGAGAGAGAAAAGAAAACGAATAGCAAAAGAGACAAGTAACACAAATGACAAATTAAAATCGAATCAAATTTTTGACATTTATCTTCGAAAGGAACTGTTGTCAATTTTTTTTGTTTGTTTGTGTGTGAACGGAAGAAAGAGTGTATTTGTGCCGAAGCCGACGACGAAAAATTAAACAACATTGTTGGAAAATTAAAAGGCACGTGCATTGGGAACAATCTCAATTCATCGACAATGTTCGCAATACCAAAACTGGGCGATGAGGACAACCAGTACGATGGAAGCCGAATTTTCACTTGGCTCGCTGATATATGTGGCCTGTCAGTTGACCTTGTAAGTATGAGCAAGTCTTTTAGTTCACACACAACATACACATGAAATTCATATTCGATTATCAGCATCTCTTCTCATCGGTGAGACGCATCGTGTGCAAAAGCATGCATCGCAACCGGGGAGTGGGATAAGAATGAATAAAAGAAAACAATAATAAGATACACAGATTTTCTGTGGAAGAGGTGAATAGCAAACGATAAAAAAAAGTTAGAAGAAAGCACATACATCGAGTTCGCCGAATCGAATTAGTAGAGATTCCGAAAGAGAGAGAGATACAAACGAGATACACATACTTGTGAATGGATTGAAGGTGCACATTGCGTGCGCGTTCTCCTCTGTGTATCTCTCTTTCTCAACAACGGCACGATAAACTCAGTTGCGCTAAAGAAGAAGAACAAAACACTTGCTTCATTGCCAATAACTTTGTGAAACTAATGAGAAAATGCAGACGGAGTTGTAAACAAAATCCATTGCATGCGGCGCAAATTGAATGAATTGCAAGCGAGAGTATGTCAGAGCAAATAACTGAACATACCGATTGCGCGTACTCTACCGATGCCGTACGGTACGTGCTTGTTTACAAAAGTGTATAACATTGAAAATTGTGCGAATCTCTTACATTATTTGTAAACATGACATTTAGCACATTTTTTTTTCGTTCAAAGCGTGTGAATTTTTCCTACAAATCATTTCTATCATTCAATCAATGCCATTTGTTTATAATTTACCTCCGACGATCAACAACACTTGCTAGAGAATTTTATTCCAAGTTTATATGTAGTTTTCAACACGAAAAATAATTTTAGCAAATTAATTTTTGCTCATAAACTTGTGTTTAGCAAATGATTCAATTGATCGTTGAAACCGTGTCAATATTCTGGATATTGTGCATGTAGTCCTTGTTTCCCGTTGTCCTCTGCTTCGAATTCCAACTAAAATGAATTTTCGTTTATAATAAGTGAGCGCCGACACATTGATGATAACACCAGCCACACAAAAAAAAAACAGAAAATCAATTGCCGTTAAATTGTGGTCATTTAAAATGAAAATAACTGACGACTACATCGGTTGTTAGGTCAGTGTAGTTCGTTCCAAAATCGAATTGGCATATCATTGTTTTTATTCGGAAGTGGTGTAAAACGCATATTTTCAATGCATATTTCATTCATTCATTTTTATTTTCTTCGATTCATTATCATACAGTCGACGGCGGCGGCAAGAAACCATTGCATATTCATTGCCGATGGAACATTGATCAAATGTTGCAAAAAGAAGAGAAAAAGCAAAAGAAAAAAACATTCAAATTAATGCCCACTGACGGTTCGGTTGCATTTGGCAACACAGTGGTCAAGACTTCGGCCAACTTTCTTTTCTCGCAAATCGAATGCAAAGCGAAATCAAGAAAATAAAGTTGACCTGTTTTCAGGTCGATACCATTCATTGGCTGCAATAGCAATAGAACAAATAAATTTCATTCGTTTGTGTTCGGTCTTCAAGCAATCCATAGATAGAACCGATGTGTTAATTGAATTCACTTTGTCGGTTGCATTTGAACTGAGCGCCTTATCACCAACCGAAACATCTGAAAATGCAATACGATACGATTCATTTTTAAAGCGAGTTTGAACGCAACGGAACGCGGAAATCAACCGCAGCAGCAGCAGCAGCAGCAGAAATAAACCAAAAATAATAATAAAAGTCCATTTCTCTTGAGTGGTGATGTTTTTTATGATTTACTATAAAAATGAAAGAAGACATAAAAAGGGGAACAACAAACATTGGTTTGAATTATAAACGATGAAAATGTACGCGCTTGTAACGAATAATAGCCAATCTCAATGCCATTCATGTTGGCACAAATCATCGAATCGCTCTTTTTTTATTATTTATTCAAAAAAAAATCAGTTGTTTGCTTGTTTATGGCTCTTTTCTTTTATCTGAGCAAATATGATTGATTTGCGCACTGTTACAACTTGCATACTCAGCAACATTTAAAAATACACTTCTTCATCGTCTTCTCTTTCTAGCTAGCTTTGTTCGCTTGCATACATTTTCAATCATTTTGGTTGCGATTCATCATTGTCAGTAACAAACGCATATTTACATTTGTGGAAGCCTTCCAAGTATCAAGTGGAAACGTTGGAAGTAAATCAAAACAAACCAAACCAAATCCATGAAGTGGTAGAGAGCAAACGCAGAAAAAGAATAAGAATAAAAAAGACCATTAGGCTTTTTTTATTGCACTGCAATTTAATTAGCATTCATTTCGATTTCTCTAATCAAAACGAAATAAAAATCTCGAAAATTTGATGCATTTGATAACTGCACAATCTGGAATGACTCTACACATTTCGCATAAAAATTAGCAGAGTTCAAACGAGCTACTTGAAATTATCATTATTTCATTCAAGCGGTCGTTTCATATAATTTTGAAACATGTGGTCACATCGATCGTTGGCGAGACAATTGTATACAAACACTTTTTTTCGCTGTCGTTGGCGCAGACATTAAAATTCAAAACAAATAAGTCGAACTATTTGTAATGCTTCGTTGGAATAAATGCACCAAAATATCCAAACGGTTCGTATAGTTGAAATGATGAATGGTGTTTGCATAAGGGACTGACAGAGAAGAGGAGAGAGAGAGAGAGAGAGATAGTTGACAATGAAATTCACAACCTCCATAATATGAGCACGCAATTGGTTTTTGCGTATCTATGATGTCATTCGTGTTAGTATTTATGTCTCAGTCGTTCATTCAATATTTTTCCCTCCATATAGGCCACACATGTGTTGTGTTAATTTGTTTCATACTCTCCATCTAAACCAATGTTGAAAATCGTCCAAAATCAAAATCACTCGATTCTGATTTAGTTACCGAGTGATTGTTGTGCACAGTTGAGCATTGATTGAGTCAGCGTCAGTCAATAAATATCGAACAAACACCGTCTATGACGCGGTTTTTTTGTGTGTCGTAAAACGCAAATTCCGTCGAATAAAAAAGAAAACAACAATTTTTGTTACTTTGTTGATATGAAACATCGATGTGTGAGAGAGAGAGAGGCATGAAATTTGAGCGCAATAACCACAAGTTATACAAATCATTTCATCGTCACAGACATTTGTTTCATGTGCATCGTCATTTTAGTCGTATTTGCTCAAGTCATCCGAGCTATATGATAACGTTTCTTAGTTCGCTCTCTCAGCTGAGACACAATTCTGTTCTACACGCTACATCGCAGTCATTCTGTGTTTACTTTACGTTTGACAAAGCAAAAGAGAAGAGAGAAAAGAAAACAAAAACTGGATGAATGAGAACGGCGAACGAAGACGCAACGATGCGATAGAATGAGATATCTTGCAATTAAATTACCGTTTGTCTTCTCTAGTTGGCATCATTTTGGAATTTGGCATTGTAGCGTAGTGTAACTGATCCAATTTTTGTCCGTTACATTGTTTTCAATCATACATGATGATGAGTTGAGTCTTTCACATTTCGCTGCCGAGAAGAAAAAATAAACAACGAAACATACATACATACACGCACACATTCTTGTCGCGTAGATAGACAATAGAAATGCAATTCTATTAATGACTTTCGATGTATTACGTCGAAATTCAATTAAGAACTGGCATCGAATGATTTTTCCATAAATGGCAATGACTATTGCATAAAAGAGGCAAAACTGTCGAACAGACAATACTACACGTGCTCGACACACACACACACTTACAGTTCGATCGCTCGTTCGCTTTCCCATCTCGTATCTGGGGTACATCCGATTTGTGTGCCAGCCGTGTATTGCATTATGCGTTTTTTGTGTGCAAGTGTGTAGAACAGAAGTAATAAAAACTGGTTTTTCTCTGACTTAATGAATGCGAAAATAGTTAAGAGCTATATTGTTTTTGCGCGCCACCAAACTCGATTGGGTAAATGCGCGCTTGCTATTGTTAGCTTGGCTGCAACAGCAGCTCGCGACGACTGCACAACAAAAGAAGAAAAGCAAACGTTATCATAACTTGACACGTATTCTAATTTATACTTCAAATTCGATTGTTCTTCTATAACTTTTGAATTGTGCATTCATTGCGGAATTTCCCTGTTTTCTCAATTTGCTTCAAATCGTATTATTTTCCTTTTTTCAAATTCTATTTCTATTTCAATTGGTTTTAAGTTTCAAGTTCTGAGATTTGTAGTTTTTTCTTCTATCGATATATATTTGCAAATGCAACTGTTTGTGCGTTATGACTTGCGGTTTATTTTTATTCTCTCGCTCCCTTAGAAGTTTATTCCTCAGCTCTTTCGATTGTGACGCAAAACCACCCATTACAGCAATTATATGGATCTAATTAAATGTATGTTATCACGTTTGCTACCACATCTGTTGAAGTGGTTCATGATGTGGTTACAATTAACACATGGATACAATGACATTCCAAAATTATCAGCTTGATTGATTGAGAGCTTGTAATATCAAAATAATTTATTTACGATAGCATTGTAATTTGTAAGCGTGCAGATGATAACTCGATGACCCTATGAAATTGTTTTCGATGGAAATTTCGGATGGTAAGGATTGTTTGTCATTCGAATGGCATGAGGTGTTGTTTATTTATTCGGCTGATTTGTCAATCACAAACAATTTGAATTGAACGATGCTCTTGGTTGTCCGTAAATAAATACAGAAATCAACCAGTATAATGTTTATAACCCTCTTGCTACATTCCACATTCAATTTTGTTGTTGTTGCTATAGTTGATTATCTCTTCTGTTGGAGCACTGTGTTTATATAGGACTCTTTTCGATATGGGTACCACTTATTGTGTGCGATTTTGTCACACTGTGTAAGCCTTTATTATATTAATCCAAATGGCATATGGTTTTATAAAGGCGAAAAATCAACATTTCACCGTCAACACCATTTATTAATCCACCACCCAACATAAAATACACGCTTACACGCTCACACGGCCATTCCATCTCAACTCAACTCGCATGGCAATATAGCTCGTGATTAACGGTTCAACCAACTCACTCGTGCCACTGAATTTTCAATGCGTTTATTGCAATAACTTGTAATGTGCTTTAAGATGAAATTTATCGCTTTTCCGCAAATAAAATTTTTCCCTGGAAAAGTATTGGTTGTTACTCTATTTGGAATATGGGAAACTATTAGATTTTGTACCGTTTCTGGTAACAGCAAATCTAAAAACCACCAAAATGGTGCTTTTGAATGGGAAATTTCGATTTTTGGATGTTTTTGTCATGTGAAACTGCTATTTTTTTGACAAATATAATGGAATTCTGATGCAACAAACACATTTACGTTCCAATTATGCTGATCTCAAATCGACATTTTATTTCAAAATTCCTTCAAAAAAAAAATTCGTTCTGTGAGATCGGAACGAGATAACTGTTATCTTCGAATAAAAATGATCTGGAAAACGTCCATTTTTCTACGTTTTGCCCATATTCTGAGTATCCAAAACACGCAAATATCGTCGCAAATCCTTCTTTCTTTTTTTTACAGAAGATAAAGCAATAGCGATTCTTAATAGAGGGTGTTAGAATACGAAATGCTTTGTGACGCATGTGGAAAAGTTCGAAATTTGCATGTAGATCGTTTTATTACATTGTTTCTATTTTATGTTTATGTGTTGCGTTTAAAATGAAATACGCAATGAATAATAAAACAAAAGTGATTCTAAGAAAATTGGACTGAAAGTTTTCCATGAAATTCCCAAATAGAAAGATTACTGAAGAAATTAAAATGTTACTCCCGAAAATTGATCGCTGGCTTGTCGGGCGACTATGATTAAGATTTAATCTAACATTTGCATTATTCATTTTTCGAACACTACTACTATGTATCGAAAAATAAAATCATGTACAGTTTATCTATCGAATGAACGATTTTTGAATGCAAACAGACAGAGAAAACGAAGCGATTTTTCAAACGAAAATTAGAATTATCGAATGGTTTGGCCATATTTCGACTATGTGCAGATTGGAATATGTATAGTGAACATGAACTTTTTTCAGTTCGTTTTGTTTGGTTTGTGTTTGAAAAGTAGTGAACGTATAGACCTTTTGTTGAACAGTTTTTCTTGATGATAACGTGGCTCTTTTGCGTGTTAATCGCTATTTTTATGCGGTTGTAAAAAGTCTCTAACTCTCTCTCCCTCTCGTTTTCTCTTTCTCCCTTTCTCCACGACTCTCATTGCAATAACAAATTAAGTATGTATTCGCACGCAGTATGAAGCTCACGAATTGGTAAAATAAAAATGGCATGAGCCGAGTTAGGTTGGCTGAAGCATGTTTGACCCAGGAAAAGAGTCGCTATATGACATAGCGTTCCATCCTCATTTAATGTATGGATTAGCCTACATTTTCTGAAGTGGAAGTGAATGACGAATAAGGAGTTTTCAAGGCAACGCATCATTGAAGTATTCAAATGGCGGCAACAACCACCACCACAACAACGACAAAAAAAGCGAAATTATTCCAATATTCAAGATAAACAGTTTGTGGGGCTGGCAAAACGGCAACAATGGATCTACTAATTTCGACCCATTTCCAGAAGTATGACATGGCTCCATTCACCTAAAATTCGCCACTCTAAAAGTGGTGAATGCCCACTCAATAGAAAAAAAGTGTTTTATCCCATCGTTTTTCACACAATCACTTCAAATCATTGAACACAATGTCGTTGTTCGAGTCACACTTTCGAATCGAGAGCGTGATGCCATTCACAGAATTCTTGCTCGTCATCATTCATGCTATTCATTTCTGATTAATTGACAGCAAAAAAAAAACAAAGTGGAGAAAAAACGAATTCGCACACTCATATACGGTATACCGCATAAAATTCTCCAAATCAAATGAATATTGTTGGGGTTATATATTTCCGAACAGTCAAAAGCATCATTTATATTTTTCCGATGAAAGTTCAAGATATGGACATCATTCATTTTATATTTTGACATGTTTGCTACTTTCCATTTCATCCCATTTTTGTGCGAGAAAATGAACACTCGAGCCGCAGGAGAGACAAACAGAGAAAATTTACTCAATTCAAATGAAATTGATGTTGTAAAACGTGTCGCCGAAAAAAAAAATCGTCTAATTTAATTAAAAACCATGCTCCAGACAGAACGCATTCCATTTCAAGTTCATGATTCAAAGAAAGATGAATAAGTGTTCAATTAATGATACGACAAACATTTTCAAGTGCAAATATGTTCCGATTACGTCGATTTTTTGTTATGAAAAGGTTAACGAATCGACCCAACAAGTTGGAAGAAGCGACAGAGACGTGAAAATGTGATTGCAGTTGTGAAAGCGAAATTGAGAGATGATAACACGAGAATTAGCAAACGCTTCATTAGCGATAGAGTTTTAGTTTTTTTTCTGTAGCGCGTGAGTCGATTGCTCGCCCTTAGAAACAATACATAATATGTATTAACAAGGCATACTGCATGAATTAATGTCATTGATTAGTTATCATGTATTTGCGATTTGCTGTGTTTTTTTTCTCGATTTGTTCACCTCCCATCAGAAAAGCCCATCTTTCCTGTTGTCTCATTAATATTCGGTGGCGTACAGCGATCGCTCTCGGTTGCTCAGTGCTCATGTCGAATGCATGTCGTGCCGTCAATTGTATCATGTGAAAACATCCACTTAGCAGAAATATTTTATTTACATTTTCACTTTTGCGTCATCAGTTTGGTTCACATGAGCCCAATATCCGAATTGAATAGCTCAAGTGTTCGTTTATTAAATTAGAGAGATGAGTTTCATTGATTTTGTCTCTTGTTATTGCATTTTATTTTTTTACTAAATTGATTTTGATAATTGTAAGCGTCAACTAAATTCGGAAAATTGTTGTTTGTTTCCGGTTCTGGGACCAAAAAAAAAAATTCAAAACGATATGATCGATGTGCGTTCAGCCATAGAATTCAAATAATTCTGTCAATTTGAAATCGGTAATTAGGTACAATTACCTGAACACGCTTCAATCTTTATCATGATCAATTTCAATTTCATAATAAAACGGAAATTTTTCAATTGTTTAAACTGCCAAAAAAATTGGTCACGGCTTACCAAGTCAATTGATTTATTGGTTCTTTTCGGCCATAAACAATGATGCAAACTGAATTCCCCCGTTGGGAAATGCACGTCAAATAGAAAAAAATAATTAATTAAAACTACGAGAAGAATAATTTTGAATGAAACTCGATGAGCACACACGCTCGAGCGCTCGCCTTCACGGCAATGGCATCGCAATTTGATTTGCGTTGCAAAACGTGTGGTGCAAAGCATTTTAAATGTTCTAAATCGGCCGCAAGATATGAGTTGGAAAATGATGTGCAAATGAAATGGCTGTGCGATTACCTCATAACTTTCATACGATGCGACCACAATGACTTTTAATGAACTAGTATTTATTGGAATTGAAATTTAATGTAAATATTATGGTGCCATCGTAGGGAAGGAACAGTCACACCGGACAGTCTACATGGCTAGATAACGTAAACATGAAGAAAGCAACAAAAAAACGCACAAAATGATAAATAAACAAAATAGAGACAAAAAAAGAGAGAAAAACAAAGCGAACCAGAAACAAAAACGCATAATGAAATTAAGTCGTAATACTCGTATGAGCTTCGACGGTCAAGCGACTGCATATACATTTTTAATCATTCAGGATTCTATTTATACTGAAACGGTTTGGATCGCTGAACGTGAGTGTCTCATCCAAATGTGAAGGTCTGACTGATATTGTGTTCAGTGCTGTTTGAAAAGTTCTGTATTTTTGGTATTTAACCAGAAATCACCCATCGAATTATTTCACACGGATTTCAATTGTGATTACATTTGGAATGAGAAATGTGTGCTCGGACCTCACCGATTGGCGCCGCCTATTTATGTTCTCCGTTGTTCGAGTGTGAGCGCGCGTGCTCGTTCGTTCGCGCATATTTGCTCGTCATTATTTCGCTCAAATAGATCAATTTAGCCGCGCGGTGTGTGTACAATTCCTTACATGCCTCAATCACAACGGCTCTCTAATTTTAGACTGAATTTGACATGTGTTTGGATTTGTTTTAGCCAAAAAGATACTACATGAACACGAACACGATCATGACACATGTTATTTAAAGCAGGTCGTTGTGATATTCTCCGTGCGTGCACGATTGCAGCTATAGCGAGATCCTTGAATAATATTATGCTAAATGAAAATAAAAAGTGCTTTTGCCAGTTTAATTTCACCTCACCACACACAAAAATACGCGCTCTCCTTCTTCTGTACGGTTGTTGTTTTATTAACGAAGAGAAAATAATTATTTTTAGTTGTTATTAAATGACAAACATTCCCTTGCTCAACACTGGATAAATTTAGACCGCTTGAATTTGTGTGCATCAGCTATATCGCTAGATGACTGTCTTTCCCTCTCTCTCTCTCTCTCTCTCTCTCTCTCTCTGTGTGTGTGTGTGCGTGTCTGTGTGTCTGTGTGTGTGTGTGTGTGTGAAGAGTTGTGTGCAGGAAATGCTTTTCGGATGCATTGAACACACAGTTCATTTACTTTACTTGAGATGGTGTAAAATATTGCGTTTTAAGAATCAATCTGAGATGGGTCCGACCGCTGCATTTTTTCTCTCTTCGAACAGGAGAATCTGTAAATACGATAATTACAATTGAAACGTAATATTTGCTCTCGGTCTCATGTATGCCAAATCTTCGTTTTTGATTTCACCATCGGCCATAAGGAACAATGAAACCGAACTATCGTTGTTTCCAACACATAATACAGTCGCGCACTTGAAGGTCAATTCATTGGTCACCTCGTTGAAGGTGATTCAGTTATTTTCTTACGTTCGGTTCTTACATTTCACTTATAATAATATGTGAAATGGTCTGATATACATGCACGAATCGTGTATTACACGATTCAGATGTGCGTACATACGTGTTCAATCAGACGTTCACTTGATCACCCGATCATACGAGTATTATGATGAGCCTCTTAAGTAATTGGTAACAATACCTGACGGTGTTCGGTTCCTTGTCTCATTCAACAGTAGCAGCTGCTCCTGCTGCTGTAAAGGTCATAAATAATAAACTACGCTCAACGTTTTACGCATTGCACCGTCGCTCAACACAATGATCATTGCGATCGGATGATCGGTTGTAATGACGACAAAAAATTAACGGGTGGTGACTTAGCGCTAATATTTTTCGCGCTGATATGAGCATACACGAGCCCCATTGTAAATTAAGCACAATCATCAGATCAGTTTATGAGCTATTCTTGGGCTATAAAGATCATCAAACTCTTAATCAATTGTTTACAAAGCATGTGTCAAGCAAAAGCAAACTAAGCACCGAATTTAGTAAAATCGTGCACACCGCTTATCGCTATCGATCGTTCATTTTTTTTACACTTTATCCGCACGTTTTAGCTACACTTTAACCATTATCCCATCGATAACGCTCACTCGTTCGACACGATTTTCATGCTGTTATTGATAAGAAATCATTTTTTTTGCGATCGGGTCAACGCAGTGTGACAACTTTTTTTTCCGACTCTCATTCACAGCAACATGTTTATTGAATGATCATTTATTTTTACTCGTGTTTTTTTTATTGTTCTTGAATTTTTCCAGATAAACTTCCTCGTATGTCAAATTCTGGCCCTGTTCTTTGCGTCATTCTTCCGCTCATATTTGCATACATCGAAAGTAACGACCAATATTCGTCATGCATTTGGACTCACATTGGGCTTGTATTTCGGTTATTTTTGTTTTGGACAACAAGCAATTCATATTGCCGGTCTTCCAGCCGTTTGCTATATCATAATTCGCACACAAAATCCACAAATTATGCAACGGTAAGTCGGCTACACCGTGTACCAATATTTGAATCATGCTATGAATATGCCGTTTTCCGCAGTGGCCATTGTTGTTTTATTATGCTAAACATGAATTTTTGTTTTGTTTCTTTTCCTGTCCCAACAGCTTGGTAATGGTGGTGTCACTGATCTATTTGTCATTGGTGCATTTGCATCGCATTTACTTTGACTATGGATCGTATACGCTCGACATAACCGGCCCATTAATGGTGATCACTCAAAAAGTGACACTGTTGACATTTAGCATTCATGATGGAATTGCACGCAACGAAAATGAATTGACCAAATCGCAAAAGATGCATGCGATTCGTACACTACCAACGGCACTGGAATTCTTCTCCTACTCGCTACATTTCCAAGGTTTGATGGCTGGACCATTGGTATTCTATAAAGATTACATTGATTTCATCGAAGGCACCAGCTTCTTGAAGCACACCAATGGCAATGTAAGTTTCATTCGATTTGATTTGATTCGATATCGAATATTCGATTTTTATTTTACTTCGTCCCTTCCGCTTCATTCCATTCTCACCTGATTTCATTTGTTTCTATTTTCATAGGTCGACAAAAGCGGCAATAAAATCGTTGTCGAACCATCACCAACGAAGGCGGTCGTGAAAAAGGTCATCGGCAGTGTTGTTTGCGCATATATATTCATGAGCTGGATTACCGTCTATCCGATAAAGCGACTCAGCGGTAGAAAAAAATTCATTAAGAATTGCTTTTTCATTCGAATTTTTGAATTTATTTCTTATGAAAATAATAACAATAATTTTCTTCGTTCTTTTTCATTTTCCATTTGCTTTTGCGACCTTCAGAGGATGACTTCATAGAAAACACACCGTTCTTCTACAAAATGTGGTATATCATGATGGCCACAACAACCATTCGCTTTAAATATTATCACGCTTGGCTTTTGGCTGATGCAATTTGCAATAATTCTGGTCTTGGCTTTAATGGATACGAAAAGGATGGAAATCCAAAATGGGATCTCATCTCAAATATTAATGTGATTTCGTTTGAAGTAAGTTGACACACCAATGTTCGGCTTGGACTTGATTTCGTCATGGACCATAATCATAATCTGGATTTTAATCTACTTTTTTAGTTGGCCACAAATATGCGTGATGCAATCAACAATTGGAATTTGGGCACAAATCAATGGTTGCGCATAGTCGTTTACGAACGAGTTCCCAAAAAATATGGAACGTTCCTAACGTTCGGTTTAAGCTCGCTCTGGCACGGTTTCTATGCAGGCTACTATCTCACCTTTGCATCGGCTGCACTCATTGTAGAATCAGCTAGAACGGTATTTGATTTTTGGATCTGCTGTAATTTTTAGCATCATTAATCTTAGAACCATGAATCGGGCACTGAGTGCCCAAGACCAACTTTAAACACTTATATGTTTATCATTTTTCATCATAAATGATTTACACAAAGATGGTTCGATTTGTTGAACATTTGACTACATGAATTGCGCTAACATACTCGCATACGCATACTACGTCATCACATATGTGCATAAGCATGTGTGACGCGCTATACGTGAATCGGGTGCCTGAGTGCCCAAAGTGCATTCTTGTATGAAAACCAGAGTGTGATAAGAGATAAAGAATTTGTGTCTTGAGCAAAGTTATAGAGCATGTCAAGTACTACAATATTTCTACAAACACTATTCCGTTATCTCTTATCAGTTCCGCGAAATATGCAAAAAAACGCGGAAGACGCGTATCTTTTGTACACACACGGTAAAATGTCTTTGTTTCTTAGTGTTAGTGATTTTGTTTCTTCAATCTATACAATAGTTCTTTTACTACTACGAAGAATTTTTTTTCGTTGAAAAAAAACTTTGGTTGTGTTGGTACGAAATTTGACAGTGACAGAATTTTTTTGCGGGGAAACAAAGACATTTTACCGTGTGTGTATCTAATTTTTTAATGGACTGATAAGAGATATCTGTCTTCAGCAAAGTTGTAGAACAGGTTGAGTTCTACAACATTCCCGAAGACTTCAACTTGTTATCTCTTATCAGTTACGCGAAAAATGATAACATAAAAATCGCGTTTTTCGCGGTTTTCCGCATAATTGATAAGAGATAAGGAGATAAAGTCTTCAAAAATATTGTAGTACTTGTCCCGCTCTACAATTATGTCCCAGACAGATATCTCTTATCTCTTATCAGTTCTGTAAAAAATGATATGGAAAATCTCGCGTTTTTCGCGTTTTTGGTGGTTTTTCGCGGAACTGATAAGAGATAACGGAATAGTGTTTGCAAGAATATTTTAGTACTTGACATGCTCTATAACTTTGCTCAAGACACAAATCGTTTATCTCTTATCACACTCTAGTTTTCATACAAAAATGCACTTGGGGCACTCAGGCACCGGTTTTACGAACAACGTTATAAAATAGGTTTCACGGTTTGAAGGTTAACATGATGATGGCATTCGCGATGAGAAAAACAATATCATTAACATGACTTTTTTCAATTTCTTTCTTCATATAGGCTCGAAAATTATTCCGCCACCGATTCCAGCAAAGCGAATCATCGCGCATTTTCTATGATATTTTGACTGTTTTGACAACACGTGTTTTCATGGGCTATCTTACATTCCCATTCATTTTACTTGAGTTTAAGGTAGGCGAATAGAATCGTGCGACTTTTATTCACATTTCAAATGAAAATTAATGACCATTTTGTGTTATAATTTTTCTGTATCATATAGACCAGTCTTAGTTTGTACCTGAATCTATTTATGTGCCTTCATATAGTTGGCTTAATAATGATCTACGTATTGCCGCATTTCATTCGCGGTGAACGGTCACAAAAGTCGAATGCAGTAACAGCACCGACATTAAACGGATTTCACAATGCTTCATCGCCGACATCGGGAACTAACTCGAACGGTGTTGTTCAGTTGAACGGTGTTCAGTCAAACGGTGTGAATAGCCATCAATCCAAAACCAAAATCGTACAATCCAACAATGCGCACAACAATGAGCAATTCGTTGATTATCTACCCAATAATAGTAACCAATGTGATATTAATGTTAATACTGAAAATAAATTAGATGATGACACAACCAACGGGGATAATGGTGCAAACGGTTCAACTACTGATAGTGCGTCAACGGCAACAGATTGTAATAATAGTTTAAGTAATAATGATACACAAGATTATCGGCAACCGACTTCAACCGATCAGCATCTGTCGAAGAAAATTCGAGAGCGTATCGATAGTGAAACAAGGTATATTGAGGAGTTTATTGATAAAACGGTAACGGGTATAGTTGAGCTTAAAGAAGATTTGATGCGGGTAAACCAGGACGATATTTATGCCAGTGGGACCAGTGATGATGGCCTTCGCAAACGCAACCTGTCCGACATGACCAATGGCAAAGAGATTGAAACATTTTTACGGAAAGAAATCAATAATGCCAACGTTTTGCCAGCCGTTCTAAGCAACGGACACGCTGACTGAGGCATTGTACATTGAGCAACAACAACACATACAAACATATGAGCTAAATCAGGAGAGAAACAGTCGCCAGACCGCCTTCCATACCGATGATATTTATCTAAATAGTGTTTAATATTAAGCTCGATTATTAAATTTGAAAATACTTACGAAGAGAAGACGAATAATGTGATCAAATCTATCAAGAACCAACAACTCTTCGAAATGATCCCAATCGTAAACCATAGCGCAAAAGCAGACAACAACACACACAAAAATGCAACACATAATTTTTGTAAAATGTTTTCCAATCAAATTGTTTTTATACATAATGCAGTTAGTTTTATTTTGTTCTTAATGGTTCCTTCAAAGCTAGTTAAATTTAGTAGGAGCAAAGTGACTTCAAACTCTTAATCAAAAATGTATTTTTCTTCCTCCTTTCTTTTGCTAAAGAAATTTTAGCTTCCCACAGCTAATGATACATTTTAAATATTTTTACGATTTGAAATTTTGTAAATTTTTTGTTTGATTTTTTTTCATTGCAAAAAAAAAACTCGAATATTGGCAGATGGGTCAAAATGACCAAAGATTCTATATGAATTGTTAAAAAAAAACCACCTCGGTTCATCCGCCAAGATTCAAATAATTATTTAAAAACTTAGTTAAGCTTTCTAAAAGAGACTAAAATTCCACGTTGAATAAATTGAAATGTATCTTATAGTACGTTTTTGCCTGAATTTAAATTCAAAAAAATACGGCTTAAATTTCTTAATGTTGCAAACAAAATATATTTATATATACATATATACAAAAATATTGAGAGTATGAATATAGAAAAAAAAATCGATGTTTTCCGTTGATTCATTTGTCTCGTTTTTGCCTTCCGCTTTATGTGTAGTGGCTTAATCAAATTATTACATACAATGCACCAAACTGAGTTTTTCTTTTAAATAAATTCAAATGTTCTTTACTACTTAATTCGGTGAATAAAAATATGGCAGTTGAACTAAATTCAAATTGAAATCGAACTTTTTTTGAATTCTATTTTAACTAATAAATTCATGCATGTCCGACCTGCATTGGATGGAACGAAAATATATTCTCATTTGAAACATTGCCAAATGGGCAATACGGGTATTTATGTAAACGGGTTTTGTTTTACAATCCACATTTGACGTCAATATCACTATTTTGAATTGTTTGTCGATCGAATGGAAAACAGAAAACATAATCAAAAGACCTAACCAGCAAATGATGTAGAATATATGGTGAATTGGTTTGATACACGTAATTTCAGACGAATTGAATAATAAATTCATCATATATCAATTCAACAAATTCAATTTATTAGCAAAAATATAAGCATTCGTTTCGATCAGTAATAACAGCTACATCATGTACTTATTTGAAAACAGAGATTACTATGGGATATTTTTATTCATATGGGATAGATATATCACATAAAAATAACAGATATTTTTCGCGCGTTGTGTTCAGCGAAACGCATTAATACAAAATAGCGATTCTGCACACACAGAGTCGCTGTTTTTTCGTTATACTCTTCACACTTACGATGAGCTGCGGGGAGCATGCATGCACATGTTTCGCTCACTTCTTTCTTTGAACACTCTTCGTGTGTCAACACAAAGCCTGTGTGTGTATCGCTTGTGCCGTCGTTTGTAAACGTCGTCAATGAGCTGCGCCATGCATGCATATATATGTTTTGCTCTTTTCTTTCGATCGACACTCTTCGTACCCAGCTCATTGTCGTCGTTTACAAATGATGGCACAAGCGATACACACACAGGCATTGTGTTGACACACGAAGAGTGTTCAAAGAAAGAAGTGAGCGAAACATGTGCATGCATGCTCCCCGCAGCTCATCGTAAGTGTGAAGAGTATAACGAAAAAACAGCGACTCTATGTGTGCAGAATCGCTATTGTGTATTAATGCGTTTCGCTTAACACAACGTGCGAAAAATATTAGATATTTTTGGACTCTGAACATTGAACGCGTTGAACGTTGAACACAACGCGTGACAAATATCTGTTATTTTTATGCGATATTTTTATCCATATGAATAAAAATATCCCATAGTAATGTCTGTTTGAAAACAATTATCCCGGCAGTTATTTACAATTCGATTGCACATTAAATGCATTAAAATTCAATCCTCGCTATACATTTGTAGAAACCATCATCGTCTTTTTGACTCATAAGTACTAAATGGATGTGGTTTACCTCTTGTGAGCCAAACACAAAATCAGCATATTGTTCCAAAATATGTTTTGCATCAAACGATTTATTTTTAGCCTTTTTCAAATATTTCACATTCAACAGAGTCATGTGCAACTTGACAATGTCACGGTCATCTTCTTTCTTTGCTAAGCCTAATGCGAAAAAAGTGGAAAAATTATTTTTGTAATTAATCTCAAAGATTTTGTTTAGTTATTAATTAACCTGCATCAACAAATGATTTGGCGATTCCATTGGCGATCTTTTGCAGAGGTTCCGATTCGACTTTTGCATAAACAACTCTAGCTTTGTTTGGACGACCTTTGATTATTTCCACTCCGCGGATGTTCATTTCGATTTTTCCATACTCAGTTTTGATGGGCCTGACAAATAAGAGGAAATAAATTGAGCAACTATTTTGAATAATCGATCAACTGCACACAAAGCTGAATCGATCGTTCGATGTAATTTTACTCGACAATTTTCTCCAAGCAATCGGCCAGCAGTAGTTTTGCTCGCTGACAATTTTCATCCTCTGCCAAACACATTACGCCAAATGTTAAGTGCAACTTTTCCGGTCTCATGAAAATTGACTCGTGCAAATCTGGAATAATGGAGCATTTATTCAAAATATCTTCCTGTGGAAAAAGAAATAAAATCGTTTAAAAATGATTTCAAAATATTTTTTGCAATGATAAAAACCTTGAACTTCATGAAATTCTCTTTGATTGTTTTTTCTGTGATTTTAACGCATGTGAAATGTGTTGGTAATTCGCGCTTTGGACCAACATTTCCAAATGATTTGATTTGCTGTCTTGCCGTATAAACATCCTTATGATTGGTTCCCTTCACTTCAACTCTCTTTGATGTGCCATCTGATTTAACTTTCGAACAGGTAATCGTAGTTTGAGTTTCATCTTGGATACGTTTCTTAAGCGCCTCTTTTGCACTTGATAACACTCGAATTGTGGATCTAGTTAAAGTCAGAGAAAAAAACAATTTATTCAATGGCTGATTCACAACTTGAATCAAATTTACTTTGGAACAAAAATCAGTGTTTTGTATTCATCCGGTGTGACTTCAATAATTACATCTTCCTCGTTAGTTGCCATAGCCCTTTCAGTGCCATCGAATTCAAAACTCAATTTTATTCGGAGATAAATCACAAATCAGCACTGCAAAAAGCTGAAATAACTCAAATATCTCCCAATCAGTGCTTTTAAATTCTGACAAAACGGCCGGTTCCGATGATTTTGTCAGATTTCACCCGATTTCAATATTCAAAGCAAGCAAATAAACAAACAAATGTCACATCTGTAATGAGCACATTATACTTGCGCCATCTATTGTCAAGTTTCAATACTTTTGGCTGTACATCAGCTGTTTTAGCATGATTTAAGTTAATTTGAGAACGAACCTAGTTTACTTCAATATTTTTATTTTATTTAACAAAAAAATTTGAATTCTCAAGTCTTTCAATCACATTGAAGAAGAAAAAGAGTGACATCACATGTGAACGTTAAATAAAATCATATTGCGGACGCTTCTCAAAACTGAATGCTCGCTGTGCATTTGTAAAAACCGTCGGCATCTTTTGACTGCATGATGGCCAAATGAATCTCGTTGAATTGTTGTGAACCAAATTCGTAATCAGCATATTTTTCCAAAATGTGGCGTGCATCAAAATTTCTGGCTTGGTATTTCTGCGATTTCGACTCATCGTCATCATAATCATTCCGATTATTTGCATTGATCAATGTCATGTGCAATTTAACGGTGTCTCGATCATATTCACGCTTTGCCAAACCTAATATCCAATCAATGTGAAGCAATATCAATTTTCTATGGCATTGAAGAGATTGTCAATTTGAATAAGAAATTTCACCTGAATCTACAAAACAATTGAGAATGCCATCGCCAATTCGCTGTAGGGCATCCGATTCGATTTTTCCATACAAATATTTCACGGCACTTGGATCATCGTTGAAACTATTAACACCACGAACAGTAAATTTAGTGTCGTTGCACTCACTTTTAATGGGCCTGCAGTAAAAGTGTATTATGATAAATTGGTACAGATACACTGACACCGATTTAAAAAAACTTACAGAACAATTGATTCACGACATTCCCTCAACAGTTCAACGGCACGCGTTCTGTCAACATCATCCATTAGCACCATGATTCCAATTGTGATATGCAGTTTGTGCGGTTCAATAAACATGTGTTCTTGCAGTCCTAGCGTTGGTCCGCTCTTCAAAATCTCCTCCTGAAAACCCAATCACATGACAAAAAGCAATATTGGTGCGTTGACCGGATGAAAACGGATTGAAAAAAATTTATCATTAAAATCAATCAAAATATTCAATCGATTTGAATTTTCACCTTAAATTTGATGACATTGTTCTTGATTGTCGTATCGATGACTCGAACACAAGTGAAATGTGTTGGCCGCTGCTTTCGCCTAGAATTGATTACAATTGATTCGATACGCCTTCGTGCCATACAAACGGATTCCCGTTTGGTGCCCAAAATTCTGATATCACCCGTTGTTCCGTGCTTTGGAATTGTGATTTCCGTACGTGTATCACCCTCAATACGTTTTCTAACCGCACCTCTTGATCCAATGATCGCTCCATAAAAGGCTCTACATTCAAAATAACAGCGAATTTCGATTGCGAATCTATTTTTCGTTGATTTTTTTAAGCATTCACACTTACTGTGGAACATGAAATGTAGTTTTATAGCGATTTGGTGCTACTTCAACAACGTCAAATTCTTCTTGAGCTTCCATTTCGTCGTTCTCCTCACCGTACAAATCTAAAAATCAAATGCAATTGAGTTTGATGATTTCATCAAACATCGTAAAAAAAATACACAAACCATCTTCGACGTATTCATTTGTTGCAGTTTTTTGTTGTTCGTAATCGTTATCGTTGGCTATTGAATTAACGCGATAGCATCGTTTGCCAATCCACAGTAATTGCGGTTTCAATATATCCATTGCTTCATAAAAACACAACAATTCGAACGAAATCAAAATAATTTTTAAAAAAAAGTAAAACAATTCCGAACAACTTAGTAAACAGCCACTCACACGGCTCATACAAATGTTATAAAAAAGTGAATCGTACACAAAAAACCGAAAACAGTACAAAAAAATGACAGTCGTACTTAAAAAATGATGCTAAAGTATGTGTCAGAATGCACGATGTTTATGAGCAGCAAATGAACGGAGAAAACAAACTCTCGACTCATCAAGTGTGTTGCTGCCTAATCTGCTGGTGCCAATTTTTCGCTATCTTCTTTCGTTGCATATCCGCAAATACATTGTGCTGTTCATATCCGTACACTTACACTACCACTTTCGTATCATTCACATTTCATTTGGTTACAATAAAAGGTAAATAACAGTATTATGCGTGAATCTCATATCAAATAGACGAACCGTGTTGTTGATGTTGTGTTGTTTTGTATATAGTTTCCGTACTATTGTCATCAACAATGAACCCGAATTTCAACGACACAATAAAAATGGAAGCGACCGACGAATGGCAAGCTCATTTTGGTAATGGTGATGTGAATTTTGATGTGAATTTCGATGCGGGACATATATTTTCCGAGCCACTTGAAGGTGATCCCGATGAAACGGAAATCATATGTGTTTATATGGACATTCAATTGCCCATTGAAACGCTGAAAGTTTTGCTACAAGAGAAAACCAAAAAAGATCTATCCGACTATGATGTTTGGTTGCAAAATGTTCAGATGCTCGAGCCATTCAAAACGCTGGTCGATCAATGTGTCAAAGGTGAGGGTTTGGTGCAAGTGAATGCACAAATTTTGGATGGACCCAAGCGAATCAACATTGCCGATGTCGTAAAACCAACGGAAGAAGTGGTCAACGCAATGAAAAATGAGCAAGGCGTCGGTCTCGACTCAGACATTGTTATGAATGACATTGAACATGGTGCAAACAGCAATGATTCATCGGATGGTAATTGATTTTTGTTTCTGTTTGTAAATTTGATGTTTTTTTTCTCGCTCAAACACATCACTTTTCTCCATTTGAATACAGCAATCGCAGTATCGAATAGAAATGCAGTCGTGCAATCGTTGAACGATAACGACGAGGAGGTGAATCAGGAATTTGTGAATTGGGTAGTGGACAAGAAGTTTTTAGTGGTGAAAAAACATCAAAATATTCCTGACGATCCGAAAAATTGGTCCGAGGATCATGTGCAAATTTGGTTGAAATGGGCTGTCAACCAATTTGTCTTACGTTTGCAGGAGAATGATTGGCGTATGACGGGCAAGGAATTGTGCGAATTGTCGTTGCATGATTTTCAAAAGAAAATTCCGCGCGATCCGGGCAATAAATTTTGGACACACTTAGAATTGTTGCGTAAATGTCAGTTCATTGCCATTCCGGGTGACCCAAAATCGGCCAACGAAGACGACGAAGAGGTCACTAGTATTGAAAATGTACGCGAAAAGAATGCCATTTTCAAGCGGAATGCAAAAGTCATCGGTAAAACGATAAAACCAGCCAAAGCCATCGGCACCATTGATTCAGCGATTGTTGAAACACTTTCACCATCGAATCAAGGAAATCGTACCGGAAACAATGGCCAGATTCAGTTGTGGTAAGAATTGACAAAACCATGAACGCACTGCGCATTGAACTAAAAGTATTTCTCAATTTCATTAGGCAATTTTTGTTGGAGATTTTGACTGACAAAGAGCATCGCAACATCATCCAGTGGCATGGCAATCAGGGTGAATTTAAGCTGGTTGAACCAGATCGTGTGGCAGCACTTTGGGGAAATCGCAAAAATAAGCCAACTATGAACTATGAGAAATTATCACGTGCCTTGCGCTATTATTACGATGGTGACATGATCTCGAAAGTGAGTGGCAAGCGATTTGTCTACAAATTCATCTGCGATTTGAAGCAATTGACGGGGTACAGCGCACAACAGTTGTCTGATCTCGTCAACAGTGTTCCGAGACAGCCAAAGGCACGTCGATACCCAGAAAGTGCAACTAATTAAGATTATTCATAGCGAATATGATTTTATTTCGATTTTTATTTTATCGCTCGCATCCTTTCTAAGGATAATTTTTATCAAACTCGTTTGTTTAAGCATTTTATTTTTAAGTCATAATCAAATAAGCTAAAAGTTATTCTTATGAATAGATATATAATGTTTAAAAACAGACCATATTTTCAATGGATAGAGTATTTTAATTAAATTTTATTAAAAAGACCAAAAGTTCATTGCGGTTGGCATTTTCATTTGAAATTGTTTAAACGATTTTCAAACGATTTCATATCATTTTTCCGCATTCAACTGATTTTTTCAGCGTTTCATGTGAACATAACCTCACATTTGTATGCCCATTGGATGACCTCGATGACAGATTGTTCGTTTGACATTTCAGTTGAGCTCAGTAGGAACTGTCAACTGCATCGTTTCATATTTACAATATTTCATCAAAGAGGAAAGTATTTTAGTAGTATATTAACCTGTATTTTGAGAAAACAAAAACAGAAGAGATCCACTGAAAAAGTTTATTCGATTCGCATTGAAGCATGAACATTTTGAAGCGGGTCTTACTGCAGCAGGTAAATTAATTGTGTTTTTTTTCATCTCGTTTGAACAATTCAACTAATTTAATGTTTCCGAACAGATAACCTTAAAAGGTGAAGTCGCAAGAAGTGTACATCGAATGCAATACCTGCAAGTCCACAATTCACACCATGGAAACCGTTTATCTCATTTGACAAAAACTCTACAGCTTGAATCGATTGCACCAAGTAAATGCAGTCACATAGAAACCATAACAAATCGACAGTATTCTTCACAAACAGCACGATCCAAATCGGACCCATGGTGGAAAAAGATTTTTGGCAATATGAAAACGTCGAAATCGGTAATAACAGCCACCCAATTGGAATTCAATACGCATTTTTACCGTAGAAAAATTGTTTATATCAACAGATTTTAGAAGGAAAATCGATGTTGCTGTACGCACAAGGAGTCGATCAATTGAATCATAATGATTTTGTTGTCAAATTTCAAATGCCGAACACATTCAATTCGTGGTTTTTGATTACCGAAATTCATGTATGGATGTTAATGGTGCGCGCAATGGCCGAACGGGAAAATGGCCAAATCATTCGTAATGGAATTGTGGCCGCATTGTGGACAGACGCATTGGAACGTTCTAAACCATTGGCACCGGGCAGCATGCGACTGATTAAAAAGCAAATCGAGGAAATATCCGAACAATTTCAGTATGCAATAGTCGCATATGACGAAGGGCTCACAACAGATGACAAACAATTGGCCAGCGCTCTGTGGAAACGGTTTTTCGAATCCAATTGCGACAATTATGAGCACATCGAGTTGCTCATCAAATATATTCGGTATAATGTAAGTGCAACCGAATTTCTTTCGTTTTTTTTTTCATACAATCGTTTTCGAAATATCCCCATGTTGAAAAAAAAAATACATTGATTGTGAACGGTTTCTAATTCGCAGATTGCCCATTTGGACAAAATGAATTCGCAGGAATTTTTAGATAAGCGAAACATCGATTGGCCATCGCTGAACGATCTCGAAAAAGGAAAACTATAAACTTACAAGCGACTATGTAAATAAAAATCGTATTGAATAAAGTAGGATACGTATAATATTCAATGGAACATTCGTTTTAATGTCACATACAAAGCAAATTGAAAATGGTGTGTGTGTGTGTGTGTCCTGTACGCTTGTACATGTATGTGTGAAACGGAGCATTTTCACATTCAAAATTGAATATACTATTGGCAAAATCATTGGGCGCATGTAACGCCAGTCAAACATTATTAAAAGGAAGTTTGTTCATCACTAACCTTGGGTACATAGAATCAGTTAGTCAAAAATTGCCGCATGTACCGAACCGAATTTTGGATGGACCATACAACGTGGAATACATGGGCTACAACGTAGAGTCTTTAACATCTGTCTCGATGGAAAAGCTTTGCGTTGAAGGGGCATATCAGAATCCCAGAAAAGCTGATTCAATTCATGTGATGCGGTGGTGCTGGGCATGCGTGCCTATTCATGCTTTCGTTTGGTAAACAATGCAACATATTGAATGAGATCTCGTGCAGCGCAAACGGAATAAATTTTCATCGTACTCAAAAACCCTTTCCGCTTCTTAAAGCACAGCAGCAGCAGTAGCAACAACAACAATGATTTGAAAAAAAAAATGAGCCGAACCAACACACTATTTGCTTAAGTATTTTCCATGTGAAAAGCTTCAAAGCTTGCGGCATTTCCCCTTAAGCTTATGGCAAATGCCGTATGTGTGTACCAACCCCATTCGTCTATTCATGTGTTCGTCAAACATGATGTTATTCACTGTTTGTTTATTTTCTGCTTCTCTCTCTCTCTTCTTTTTTTTTGCTACATTTTCCACATGCTGCTTTATAATAAATTCAAACGACAAACCGATCGCACACTCAGTTGCCTGAGTAGCGTGTGACTTGGAGGACACACATACAACACTTGAAACAAACGGTAACGCTTCGCGGCGAATGTGATTCGCCTTCTCAAATTTTTTTCTTCTCGAAAAAGTTACAACTGTTAGAAGTCTGTTTCTGTTCTGATTCCGTTTGGTCACGAATTTGTGTTCCATTTTTTTTTTATCGTGGTGGTCGGTTAAGAAATATGTATAATTCAATAGAGAACGACAAAAAGCATGTATGAGTCAGGGCATTTTTGGGACACCGTAATTACATTTTGGTCTCGTTTTTTCGTCGAGTGAAATCTTGATATTGGCAACACAAATAGAACAGAACTCGGCGATAATAAATAATCGTGTCCGATATTTTTTTTTTCTATTTTTCGGTAAAGGGTGCCACTCAAAATACTGTATAGAAAAAGGAGAGCAAAATATAATAAGCAAGAATATACATTTGCCGTCTTAATAAAAGTGCCGTTTCCTTTTAAATTTTCTTTCGGTTCGTAAACTTGACATACATACAGAAAAAAAACCGTATTAGTGCAATAAAATCATGTGAAACACTACAAAAACAAAATTCTTCTGTATTTTTACCCCGATTGACAATTTATTTCTCGTTTCGTAGGCTATAAAATGAAGCCATCGGCTTTTAAATTGATCGAAAATGAAAATGTAGAGCAAAAAAGAATATCTAAGGTACATACTACTACCTAATTTGACTTGAGAGTTGTAGCATAGATCCTATCTAACATTTCGGTAAAGAATCGCCCACAGAACAGCTTGAATAAGGAAAATTAGGGAGCAAGAAAAAGCGGCGGCTGTTATGTGAAAAAACTAGAATAAATTGCATTTTGTGCGCCGTGTCTTTGTGTTCAACGAACATACGAATAGCTGTAATAATGAGATAAACACCATCGATTTGATTGTTTGCCATCACTCACGGATCCTGACACTCACACATTCAATACACACTAATATACCAACCCGTAGCCAAAGAAGTAAGTGCAACCTAATGTAAATTAAGTGTATATATATATATATATATAATATTCACAGTCTCAAACGAAAAGAAGTGGATTTTCGTGATTGAGCGAAAGATAGCGAGAAAATGCCATCGCAATAAATTGTAGATTGATAAATTTGTGTCATAGATGATGTTCTCCGGTTGTTATTGTTGGAATGGTATACACGCGCGCGCCGTGCAGCATGGTGGAAATGAAGCGAACGAGAACGATGTATTAAAAAAAAACTCTTGCAATTATTTTACTTTGCACATTGTTCGGTTGCTGAAATTCGGTCGACAATGTGATGCAACTAACAAATGGAATGTGCAACTTGCACCAAATACACATAAATACACACACACACACGCACCGAGTGAAAACCAAGTAAACAAGCAAATAAACAAATATAGCGGTAGCATTTCAAAGTTTTCCAAGCGGAATTGCTTTTGGCTGCCGGCGATTTTCCATTGTTTGTTCTCATGTGTTCATTCGAAATAGTATATGCATATAAACAACAACGAAGGAACACCGAGTAAATTCCTTTACAACACTCACAACATTTCATTTCATTCTCGCAAACACCCCTAGCCACACTTCGATCCGGTTCTTCGGTTGTGATTATTATAGCGATTTGCGTTGGTGTTTCGTTTGTTCGGGCTGACAGGCCAGGCAATCAGGCAAGCAACATACGACCGAAAATTGCAAGAGCCACCGACTCACCCACCACCCGATCCATTCGAAATGTTACAGAATCAAATTAAGATAAATTTGCATGTAAATATTTCCCACAGAACTAACATAATCTCTCTCTCTCTCCGTATCGTTGCAACGGGCGTTGTATGTGTGATTGTGAGTTTTTCTTCTTCTTTGTTTGTAACCGAGCAAAAATTCCAATTAAAACATAAACAACGAAATCACTGGGGCAGGTTTTATCGTGCATAATATTTTCCTTTTGGAAATCGTACACGTTACCATTGTTCGGTTGTAGATTTTGCTTCGGAATTCCATTCGGTTGAAATTCTCTTGCAACAACACACCGCATGCATAAACTCTTCAATATTGATTAAAAAAGAAGGGTAAAAACAATGCAGAAAGAAGATAACGAAAAAAAAACACACACACACACGACACATACACACATGTATATCGATTTGCGGCAAAGAGTGGAAAACAGTTTCGTTGTTTTTTCTGCTCTCGTTCAAACATTCACATTATTTGTTTCGACGACACTTGGGTACTTGTGCATGCTCCTGTTCATCTGTTATTCGATACACTGAATTGATTTTGCATTGTGAATTGTGTGTCGTTACCCCAGCGCCGTAGCCAGAAAAAAAAATTGGAGGGTGCAAAATCGAAATATTTCTTTTGTTGCACCTTTGAAATCCGATTTTGCACCCGACTTTGCACCCGATTTTGTTGCACCTTTGAAATTTTTGGAGGGTGCAATGCACCCATTGCGCCGGCCTGGCTACGGCGCTGCGTTACCCGCTTTCTCTCTCTCCGCCTAAACCACCTCCCTCACCAATTCTATTTATCTCTCTTCCGTTTCATTTTCTCGACACGACGAATCCTTCCACTCACTTGCAGTCAGACGCTGTCATTGTCGTGCATTGAGCACTGGAACACACTTTTATCAACTCGAACTAGTTAGTTATTTAGCCTTCGTCTCAGCTAGGCAGCTTACAATTGTATTACAATTTAACTCAAATTCAAGCATCTCCAACCGATCGGGCAACGACAATGAAGAGGAGTGAGAATATCAGCCAGAGTGAAAGAACGATGAGAATAAAAATAGCAGCAACGCTCGATGCTACAGCATACACATTTTATTAGAGAAATTGAAAATTAAGAGGAAACGATATGGGACTACGAATAATAGAGTGTTGAATGGAGACATAAGAACATGCTTTAAGATAATAATATTGAGAGAGAGAGAGAGAGAGAGAGAGAGAGAGAGAGAGAGAGAAGTATCGAAGTCAGAATGCAGTGCCAGCCGCCCGACACCCTTACAATATAAAAAGACAAGTTTAATACGTTTCCAATATACAGGATACGCGAAACGAGAAATATATATAGAAGGAGAGCGATGTGGGTAGTGCAGAAACAAAGAAAAACGATTGGTAATTGTGTGTACGATCGGGCAAAAGCATCGGCAAAATTATTTCAACAATATTATCGATATATATTGTAAAATTCAATGAGAATGGAGACCACTGAGCGAACAACTAGTCAATCGTTGATGCAGTCGACTATGTGTCTCTTATCATTATTTTATGTGCAGTGTGCGCAATGTGTGCATTGTTTTACTTAGCGGTTTTGCAAATGCTTCTATCAATGTAACTTCCACAGTCGTTCCATCGCTTTCGTTCAATGTGTCAGTCAATAGTGAATGTTTCAGTGTGACATGATGTATTCTACAATATTTATATGGCATTTTGTCTATATTGATCCCAAATATATCCAACAGCTCTTAGAATGAAAATGGTATGCCATTAAATGGCGCTTTGGCTCTCTCTCTCTCTCTCTCTCTCTCTCTCTCTCTCTCTCTCTCCGAGCACATTCTTCTCTATCGCTTAAACACCAAAATTTTATTACTCACTGCTATACTCTCATTCTCGCCAGCAATTTCCATTTTGTGGTAGCTTTTTTTCCCGATACCTTTACCGTGTTGAGTGCGTGGTGTTGCGATGAGATGAAACGTTCACGCCATTACATACTCTTAATCGTCATTCCTTGCTTACGCACTTAACGTAAATGTTTCACACATTATGAGCAGTAATTTGGTTCGCTTTTTTTCCATCCGACAAAAATTGCTCCTTATTTTTTCATTCTCTCACTCGCTCTGTAGAAAAATGTGTTGTACTGAATTCAGTGTGAATTATTATACACACATATACACAAACTGAACAAAAGAGAAAAAAAAATGTAATCCGGTGAACGCATAAATTTGGAACACTGCAGCATCAAATTTAGTGATTGATGTAATGCCCAAAATTGATACTGGCATAAGAATGATTTTCAACATTTTCATTCATTTGATCGTAAATGACAGATGAATTTGTGAGTGTGTGTAAGCAGATTTCGAATGGATAGGATCGCCGAGATTGTCATTATCGTTATTGATTGTGATTGAAATGCGGAAAATGGTACGCATTTTATATTTTTTATTTATTTCTGCATATTTTATACCGCATAGAACTTATGCCGGTGCGATGCTGATGACGATTTTGTCATCGTCCATTCAGAGATTCCTCATCTCCTTTTTTATTCAATTCACACAACAAATCAAATGCCGGAATGATTGTTAAGCATCGATTCAGAACTTTATACATGCATTCATCGAAATCAAGTATTTTCCGCCTGATTTGGCGTTGGTGTCCGTAAAAATCCACATTTTGATGGGAAATGTTAACATGATTTTTGTATTGTCATCGTTCGTAACCGCATCCGGCAACACATAGTCGATAAGATGTTTGGTCAATTTCAAACACGGCTTGCGATGACAACTGAATTCGGAACACAAATGTATTCAGCCGCGGAGCGATAATCCAACTTAAATATTTGCTATTTCGCAGCGAATCCATTCATCAACAGCGTCGGTAGTACGGGTAGCATTTAAATCGATTGCTGTTGCTTTCTGATTAATTTTCCACTGGTTCGAGTATTTTGTATGTATGTATAAATCTCATTTATAACGGCATTTATCTTTAGTCAATGAATTGAAAAGATAGAACCGACAATGTAATGCATATAGTGTGCTCTCCGCTCAATGTTACCGTTGCAAGCTCAGCTTTGACTTTCGGCAGAATAAACGGTTCGGAATTAAGGATCTAGTTTTTATTCATGCTGAAACGGGATGATATATATGCTCGCGCGCTCCTCGCCAAACACACACACGAACCGACGATAAGCGATCGTCGAAAAAGTGTTTAATAAACACGAGAACAAAACATTATATGTCGTTAAACATATTGAATGGTGTTAGATGCACACACACACACACCGTCAAACACAAATGGTATGGCAGGCAAAATATGTAATTAGTATATTGTAGAACCCTCATGCGTTTGTTGTGGTCGACTTATTGCTTACTTCTCTCGCTTCTTCGTTCCTTCATATACCCGATTTTTTTTTCGTTGTTGTTTTATTTTCATTCTTCTGTGTGAGTGTGTGAGCTCACTTTGTAGCGCACGCTCTGCCAATGATAATGATTGAGATAAAAGACGAACAAACACGCAACAGAAAGAAAAATATTGATTTAGTTGGTAAATGCCGTTACATGCATGGCAGCAAGCTTGGAGTTTTCTTTTCGCTGCTCGGCTACTGCTTCGGCTGCTTCTGATGTTGTTCGGCAATCACAAGCGCCGCATGGAACACAATTTTTTTTTCCGAGCCGCTTTTGTTTCGACATCTTATTGTGTGCGCTTTGTGTGAATGCATACATACTAGACTGCTCCAAGAAAAAAAAGTTGGTCGAAGAAAAAAAGTGTCATCCAGTTTCGAAAAATATACCTCAAAAAAATAGGTTTGGTCCAAAAAAATCATATGGGTACCATATAAAAACCCATAGCAAGCCCCATATGAAATTTTTCATGACAGCGATTTCGGAAGCCATTTTAGATCGCAACATTTCGACCGATTCCATTATTCCAGCCAACTTTTGGCAAGAACTGTTGATAGGGTTTTGTCTGGCTTGTCAATATCTACAACTTTTACCAAGACATCAGCTCTTGAAAAGGCATTCTGGGCCAGTTACAGTGTAAAATGACCGAAAAAATGGCAAATTTTCGGCATTTTTTGCAATTTTTGCTCTACTGGCCACCCAGGTGGTAGACTTTTGTTCGGTTTTGGACTTGTGTCGTGTAGCTAAAATCTGCACAAAAATTTTGGAACTTGTCAGATTGCGATTTGGATGGAAGTTGGCGACAATTGATTCACACATATAAGACAAATTTCAGGCCAAAATGAGCAAATCACAAACATGGGCTTCGGTT